GCGGCGGACACCGCGCCCACCAGCAGCCAGAAAGCGGAGCGAGCGGGAGTTCCGCAGGCCTGAGCAGAGGCCGCTGCGTGCGGCTCAGCCCCGAAGGGCCGCGGCGGGGACGACGCGCGACACCCAGGGAAGTCAAAGGAGCAGACGGCGGGCAGCGCCCGCACACGAGGGTCCCCGACAGACACCACCGCCTCTTACCTCCCGCAGAGACTCCAACCTCGGCAGCAAAGCTCGCAAGGCGGCGGTGGAAGAGCGCGGCGACGACGAAGGCGACGAGCTCCCAGCACAAAATGGAGCTGACAGCCGCTACGCAAGATTCTTCTCGAAAACACGGTGACGCCAGCGGGGCGGGGCCTGCGCCTACTCTGAGTGCGCAGGCGCGGGTCCGTCCGGAGCGGGCGGGGGAGGACGGTCCAGACGCTGGCTTCCTGAGAATTCTAAACACAATGCCGGTTTCAGTAATAGTCTCCTGCTCACAGAGAAAAGAGTCTGACTCTGCGAACACCAGAAACAAGGAAGACGAGGGAAGCAAGGTAAAAAGTAGCACCTGCCCTGATTGCAACTTTTTAAATGTTTTAAAACACCACCAACAAAGCAGCTCGAGTTAGTAACGAGCTTGGTTTTTGCAATTTGACCAATTGCATGTGGTGTGACATGCACTGAAATTGAATATATTCCCAGAAGCTTTTTTGTTTGGTTGGGTTTTTGTTCTTGTTTTTTTTTGGGGGGGGGGTTGTTTTTTGCTTTTTTGAGGCAGGGTTCTCTATGTAGCCCTGGCTTTTCTCTATAACTCTGTCTGTCCTAGAACTTGCTTTGTAGTCAAGGCTGGCTTTGGAGATCCTCCTACCTCTCCCTCCTGAGAGCTAGGATTAAAGGTGTGCCACCACCGCCCAGAATATTTATAATAACCCTGGAAACAAAGATCTTGAAAGACCCCCCCAGAGACCCCAAGAGTTTGGAGCCTGTCAGGGGGAAGGCCCTTGCCCCCAAGAGAGGAGACCAGACCACTGGATGCAAGTGCAAGAGGTTGTTTATTGTTTACACAGGTACCTGTGGACGCTTCAGTCTTTCGGGGGACTGAGCGTGCTGAGGTTAAAACTCAGGCAGTTTATATAGGGTTGGGGTGGCAAGAAGCAGGCTTACAGAAGCAGAAGCATGGTTACAGGGATTTCATTGTTTCATCTAAATGTAGCAGTTGTAGTTAACCAAGGACAGTTGGTTATTCCGGTTGGGCACAAATAATACAAAGAATTCAGTTATGACTATCTCAGCATACTGGACACTGTCCTGCTGACCTTGCTTTGGTCCAAGCTGCAGACCACAGATATCTGGTTGGCGTTGGATGAGAGCAGCACCTGGTTCCCTCCAGTACTTTTCTCATAACTTGACCTTGGCAAATTAGCAAGAGCAATTTAAACAGGCAATAAGCATAGTGGGGGTCTTTCAATCTGAACATATCTATGCCTGTTTCTTGATTGGTTTGAGAAGACGTACCCTAAATGGGTCAATTCTTCAGCCAGGGTCTTGGACTGGATTTAAAAAAGAAAAAGAAAAAAAAAAAAAAAAAAAAAAAGAAGCCAGGTGTTGGAGAGATAGCTTAGTGGTTAAGAGCACTGACCTTTCTTCCAAAGGACCTGGGTTCAATTCCCAGGATCCACAGAGTGGCTTACAGCCATCTGTAATTCCAGTCTGTGGGCACAGTCAGACAGGCAGGTAAAATACCATGCACATAAAAATAAATGAATTTAAAAGAGAGGGCGGGGAATGACCAAGCTAAGACCCAGCAGTCATCTGTTTTTTGACTATTGATGCTATACCACCAGTGTAAAGTTTCAAACCCACCACAAACGGCTGAGGGGCCTACTCAACATCTCAGGATCTGATCTGACCTCCAGATTCTCCCAGCATCCCTCAGTCCCTACCTGTTATAGGGTATAGCAGACACACCTGCCTTCTACTAGATCTACTAGGAAAACATGTTTTAAATAGCAACCACGTGGCTCTCCTCCATCTTGGCTGATGACTTTCAAGATGTAAGCTGCCACATGATAGGAAGCCAATTTTACTAAGGTTAAAGGGTACAGGCCATGTGACTTCACCTATTTTTTTCCCCTTTGAGGCAAGAGTTTCTCTGTGTAACAGCACTTGCTATCTTAGAACTCACTCTCTCAAGATCAGGCTGGCCTCGAACTGACAAAGATCTGCCTGGCTCTGCCTCCCAAGTGCTGAAACTAAAGGTGTGAGCCATCACCACCAAGCATTAGAGATTTAAATCTAAGTACTTGTGTCACTGGTAACTGTAAAACAGCAAGCTTCTAGAAACACCATGTTTAATAAGTAAGGTATATTTGATAAATAAGATATGTTTTAATTTTTTAAGGTTAAACCTAACAGCTGCAAAATCCTAAAGCTGCAAAGTCCTAATCTTATAAAAAAGAAACTAACATTATAAACTGTTAATGATTAAGCCATGCAAACTAATAGTCACCATGTAAGTGATCAAATTCCTTAATGTGTTGAAAACTACACTTGTAGTCATGCCTAGTATCAATGTAATTATAAGAACTCGCTTTATTTAGCCTCGTGTATGTTTTCAAAGTTAAGCCTAAAACAGTTAACTAGAAACAAGCAAAATTTCTTTAGTTTAGATATACTTGAGAGGTGGTTCCCAAACTCTTCAGAGATCCACTGAATATGGCATTTACTGTTTAGTAAAAAAGCTTCTCATGATAGAAGTGCTAGTTCCTGCTAGCTCCCCTGAGAGCTCCAAAGATGACAAGGCATAGAAGAACTCTACCTGGAGCTTGCTTTTATGTGGCAAAGCTGGTCACTGAGTGAAAACTGCCCGTCACCTCCCTCCTCCACCCCACACAGGTCCTGGTCCAAACTATGCACAATTGATTGCTCTGCTTTGCCTAGACAAGGTAGGCTGGTCCTTCAAATTCTTCATCCAAGGGAAAGTCTGTTGGACCTTCTGGGCCTGGTGCCGAAGGCCAAAGACTTACACTGCCCTGGGGCCCAACCTGTGTCCCCATTGAACAAGGAGAAACCTAGCAGATTGTCCAGAGAGCCGTTAAGTTTCTGTCATTTTTAATAGATTCTGGAGCTGTTTGATCTGCATTTTCTGCAGATCTCTGGAGTTGAGGACTAGGCTAGTAATAGCTTTGTCAGCTTAACAGCAGCAACCAAGGCTTCAGTTTACAGTTCTCTTCATCTGTAAAACTCAGGCCCCAAGCCTCCTTTCCAGACCTCCAGCTGAGAATGACTTTCCCTTGCTAAGACTAAGAAGGGATAAGTTCACAAAACAGGTCCCAACACGTAAATTTTTACTATTTTTTTATTTAAAGTAACTTGCTTTACATTGACTGGTGTCAGTAATCAGCCACCTATGTCTCATGGTAAATGATTGGATTTTTAAAAAGTAATTTAAGGTATATAAAAAAATGTTTCAGATTTCTTTCCCTCGTATGCTACTGTTAAGGCTTAAAAGTTCAGAGTTTTAACACTAAGGGGTTCTGATAAGCTATTAATCTAGCTCTGGTAAGCACTGACTACTATTATCAGCCACAAGCTTGAGATTTTAAATTTCCTTTGGTTGTCTTTGAAGTTCAGACTTAAAGATTACTTCTCAATGGGCCAAAAAAAAAAAAAAAAAAAAAAAAAAAAAAAAATCTGTGCAATCTCTGGCTCTGGCTACACCTAGGCTCTGGATAGAGGAACAAGTGTACATGCTTTTAGCCAAAACCATTTTGGGTTTTCCAGCTTTTACTGTGATTCAAAAATCTATTGCCTTTTCTGCAAGATAGGATTTCTATTGCTTTGGAGGCTCCTAGAACCTAGAACTAGCTCTGTAAACCAGGCAGGAACTCACAGAGATCCGCCTGCCTGTGCCTCTGCCTTCCAAATGCTGAGACTAAAGGTGTGCACCACCCACACCCAGCTACCACTTTTTATAAACTTAAAAAGATTCATGGAAACTTCCAGGAGTAGACTTGGATCCACCCTCAAAGGACTCTGTCAATTAACAGCTTGTTTCCTCACCTGCCTATTATTGAGGGTGGGATCTCCCTGGTCTTGGGAATCCCCTCCCCTAACTACCAGGACCATGGATCTACAAGTTTCAAATGTGCAGCTAAGAAACTTTCCCCTAAACTCCTTAACTTTACCCTCTGCCCCTAATATATATCTGTCCCAGCAGATTTCCAATCAATTAAAGACTACTAACTGCTCCAACTGCTACCTGCACACTCTTAACCCCAGATGGTTCCACAGAACCTGAACAGTGATTAAAACAGCCTGCTGCTTCCAGTCTTGGCCAACATTCCAGCTTTTTGGGTCCCTAACAATGATGCCCCAATGTCAGTAGGAAGTAGTAAAAATGATTAAATCATCCCTTATCATTTATTATCAACAACAAGGCTGGGATGTCAAGTTTCAAACACAGGACAAATTGCTGAGGTGTGTATTTAAGTTATCCAAGTAGACCTGGCCCCTAGGTTCTCCCAGGATTTCAGTTCCTACCTGCTACAGAATAAATCATACACCCCACCCTCTACCCTGAACTCTCCAGCCCAGGGTCTGGGCTGCCCTTTGGCCAGAGGCTCTTCCCTATATAATCCAGACATTTTGGTTACCTGCCCTTTGTACCTATGGTCTTCTGGCTGCTGTACTTGGTTCCTCTCTCCATTCCCCTCTCCCACATGGTCCAGCTTGGTCTGGTCACGTCCACTCTGGACTCTCCCAGATGTCCCTGCCTCTACCTAAACTCTCCCTTTTATGTATAATAAACTTTCTCCTCCACCACACTTAGGAGCAGTCATATCCTCTCCTTTCGTTTTTATTTCTTTTCATTCAACCTGCTGCCTTGAACAATGAGCCAAATGAGCTCCCTCTGAGACCTGTGAGTTGGAAGCCAGCCTGGCCCACAGAGCGAGTTTCAGGACAGGCTCCAAAGCAATATGGAGAAACCCTGCCTCAAAAAACCAAAAATAAATAAATAAAACCAAAAAGTCAATGTATTTTTACAAGTTGGTAACTAAAAGTGAAATCACAGCAATCAGGAGACAAGGATTAAGAGGAGGAAGCCAGCCTGGGCAACCTACCAACAGCATTTCAGAACCATTCACCACCCCAAAACAAAAGAAAAACCCCTAACCTCGCCCAGAAAGGAAAGGGCAGACTGGCTGGCTTTCTAACCACATCTTTAGCAGGGTCTTCTTCTCTCATTTCTTCAGTGAGCATCTGCTTTGTAGCACAGCCAGGTCTCAAATCCATGACCCTTCCTCAGCCTCACAAGTGCTGGGATTATAGGCATGTGCTACGTTGACAGGCCAGTTTTCCTCCTTCTATCTGCAGGAAATGAATACTGCAGGAAAAACAGTACTTCTAAGATATAAATTAGAATGACTGTAATATAATTTGGGTGCTCAAAAAATGCCTGCATCTGACATCAACATTTAAAAATGGATACTCTTACTAAAAACAAGGCAATGCTTTGTATTTAAATTAAACAAATTGAACAACAGCAGGGGTACAGAATATGCTCAGGGCTGGGGGTGAACGCCACAGGTCTCCCCGATGGACATCATCACTGTAAACACCAGAAGGACCACAGTCTCTGACATAGTCAGAACTGGACAAATCACAATGGGCGTGTTCCAGTGAAGAGTCTGCCAAGGATCCCTCCAGGCCTATGATAGCTACTGAGCAAAGGGGTTGGCATGGATAGTTATGTCCTTAATGTGTACATCATTAAGAGGTCTGTATGTCTTCTCATTTACTGGTAACTTCTCCAATTCATCCAGAGTCTCCAGACCATCTATTACCCTGAAAGAGAGACAATGTGGTATGTGAAATTTTTCTCAACTTGAAATATAACATATCTGTAACAATTATAGTCTCCAGGATAGTTCTCCTTCTTTTCCGATCATGTGGCCTGGCTGGATTGTGCCTCCTGGACACAAGTGGCAAAAGGAAGCCTCAAGGTCAGTCCCATTCACGAAGTCACCAAAATGCACTTGCACTGCGGTGCAGTGAACTATAAAAAAGTTTTCCCTCAGCAAATGCATAGGCTCAGATTTGAATGATGCAACTTGTTTTAAGAAAAGGCTTTTTTAGACGCTTCAGGCCATGATCATGCATTTCCATTAAGATATAAAAGAACACGGGAACAGTCAGGCTTAGTGGCACATGCCTTTAATCCCAGCCTGTAGGAAGAGGTGGCAAAGGCAAGCAAATGTCTGTGAGGTCAATGCCATCCTGGTCTTCTTTAGAGTGAGTTCTAGGTCAGCTGGGGCTCCACAGGGAGCCCATATCTCAAATAAGCAAACAAAAACACAAGCAAAGCACGTAGGGAAGAATGCCAGAAAGGGTTACCATAACAACTAGCCTTTTAGATTTACTCCTACATTAAGACAATTAAGTTCTATAAATTATCTTCTTGTCTTTATGAAAAACAGAGAACTTGGGAAATTCTTAGCTCCAGCAAAAAAGGGGCAAGTACACTTGAAGGGTCAAGGATCAGGGACATGAGGTCCTTAGGAAACCACAGAAAATTTACATGTCATCTTTCCAGAAAATTGTGTGTAGAGATACAACTTCAAGTAATTTAATGGGGCTGGAGAGAGGTTCACTGGTTAAGAGGACTGGCTGCTCTTGCACAGGACCAGAACTTGGTTTCCAGCACCCACCTGGCAGCTTACAGCTATCTCTATGAACACTTCCAGTTTCAAGAGATCCAAAACCCTCTCGGACCCCTGCAGGCAGCAGGCACGCACATGGTGGACATAAACTCAAACATTATACAAATAAAATTGAAAAAAAAAATTCTAAAAACCAAGTAATCTATAAGCCAAAGGCTAAGCTTTACAGGTTTGTTTAAAATTTAGCAAGAAAAGACAGAGAACTATTGGTCAATGGTAGTTAATATAAGTTAAGGAGAAAATGAAGAGACTCAGTTGTCAGCATGCAGACACGAAGATGACTGACACCCTCAGTCTAGTGCATCTAGTGCTAAGCATTTGGAACACAAGCAAACAGTGGGGGCCTCTAGTTTTTAACCTAACTTAACATCCAAACTACTAAGTGAAAGTCTAGCCATTCATGGTGACCTACAACTGTCATTATCTCACAACAGGGAAAGCTGAAACAGGAGGAATGTGAGTTAAAATCCAAATAAATCCCAGTACTCTAGAGCCATTTTTTTTATTACCTAGAATAATAAATACATGTTGAATGAGTAAATCTTACCTCCCATTGAATTATAAAAGCAATTTTAAGATTAAGTGTCTGTAATACAAAATTCGGCAGAAACTGCCAAATGGCTGCCTAGGACCAGTTTTTACTCAGACACACTTGATTGATGGCCCAATCCATCCAGCTGAAAAACACCACCCACTCTCCCTTATAAGTGTGGCCACACTGTCAAGTTCGATCTTCTGGGAGAGTTCTTTATTTTTAATTCTTTGAAAAGGTATGTTTGTTTACTTATTGCATGCAGTTATGCACGTGTGGAGAGGCCAAAGGCCTTCTGGGGAGTGGGCTTCAAGAGTCAGACACAGGCTGTCAGGTTTGCACACATGATGGACAAGTGCTTTCTTTACTTGTCCAACCACGGCACGAGCTCAGGAGAAAGCTGTTTTCAAAGGTTCTTGGCCAGCAAGAATCTTTAGCTCCTCCTCCTTTTGACTGATGCATGCTCTGACTAGCTATGCTGCCTGTATACCCATGAGGTGAGCCTGAGAGTGAAAACCAATGATGGCTGGAACACTGGCGACAGTCACCATGCTGGTCCAGTTTCTTCCAGTCACTATTCTCAGGTATGCTGCTCGCTGTTAAATGCATCACTATTAATTTACACAACATGCCTAAGCAATTCTTTGGTTCCTCTTAAACAAAATAAAGAAAACGAAGCTCAGATAGTGTATGACTTCCTCAGGGTAACAAAGCTGATGACTGGGGCGTCTAAAGTCCAGGTGCTTTCAGTTGTCCAATCTTTCCAGTATTAGCTATGCCATGATCACAGCCAGTACAGGAATTGCCAAACAAAGAGATGACCAGAATACTCACTTTCCAAACACTGTGTATTTCATGTCCAGATGCGGCTGCTTGCCATAGGTGATGAAGAACTGAGATCCATTGGTGTTTGGCCCATTATTAGCCATCGATACAACCCCTCTAACGTTGTGCTAAAAAAGACAAACCAGCGCATTACTATAATTATGCCGTCAATGGAAATTTCCAAATGCAGACTGAACATTCTCTACCTTCTCAATATTCAGGGTTCAAGAAATGGCTTAGCTGACTTTTTTCTCTTAGTATTAGTCAAAAGTGAAGGTTATATATTACCTTTATCCCTGATAGTCTTGAACTTAACTTGTTTATATAATTATCTACTTTCCAATTAATTTCATTTTCACTTTGGTGATGAAGTCATAAACACTTTTATTTCTATCAATGTATAACAAAAAAAATCCTTACATCTGTATTAAGGAATAGTGTGCTTTAATGAAGAAATGATCAGGCAACAAAATCCAAGTTTGCCAAATCTCTTCTTGCATACTGGACTCTATGCTGGTTTCTTGATCTGTTGAACTAGTTGAACTAGTCCAGGGTTCTGTTCAAAATGCAGATGTGATGGATGTTGGTGGTACATGCCTTTCATCCCAGCACTCAGGAGGCAGAGGCAGGTGAATCTCTATAAGTTGGAGGCCAGCCTGGTCTACAGAGCTAGTTCCAGGACAGGATCCCAAACAATACAGAAAAACCCTGCCTCAGAAAACCAAAACCAAAACCAAAAACCAAAAACCAAAACCCCCAAAAAACCCCGCAGATGTGTCTGGTGGTGGCTGCACACACCTTTAATCTCAGCACTCAGGAGCCAGAGACAGGTGGATTTCGATGAGTTTGAGGTCAGCCTGGTTTACAGAGTGAGTTCCAGGACAGGCTCCAAAGCAATACAGAGAAACCTTGTCTTAGGAAACAAACAACAAACAAACAAACAAACAACAAAAGAAACCACAGATGCTCACAAGGATCAGTCAAGCAGGTCAAAAACTGACAACTGGGAAGAGATGGAGTCTGGTAAGGTCAACAGTGTATATCTTGCCTGAGGATATTTTTCTTAATGATCATAGAGAATGCATCAGTGACTGAATCTTCCTCCCATGGCCAGTCAATCAATTTATTACCCCAGGACTGGAAGACCCGAGGAAGGTTTCACCTAGCTCTAATATTATCAATGCTACTAGTTTACAAGGCATGGTATGTAAGTATTCAAAGTATCTTACTGAAACAAAAAGTCTGAGTTGTGCCATAGAGCGGTACTCAGGTAACAACAGCAAAACACGCAAGGAACCACTGATCACTCCAGCATTAGCTGTTCATCAGGTGACACTCACTAGAAAATCGAGGGAGGTGCAGCTACATCCACATAATACATCATTATCTCTGTGGAAGATGACTACTAGTCAGGTGCTGTGGCACATGCCTAGACTCTTGGTGCAAGGAGCTAAGGGAGGAGGAGCTCTAGTTTGAGACCAGCCTGAGCCACACAGTACAAAGATTGCAGTGTGCCTTTTCACTTCTGAACATGAGAAAGAGTTTTTATTTGATACTTAATGGCATGTGTCTCTTGGAGTATAAGTATATGTACAAGAGCTCTTCTGGCATTTATAGTATGTGAACCTCAACTCTGGTGCGTAGGACAATGATTTTTTTTTTTTTGGACAGGGTTTTATGTAGCCCAGGCTAAGCTCAAATTCATTACAAAGCTGAGATTGAACTTAGACTCCTGAACCTCCTGCCACTGCCTCTCTAAGGCCAGGGTTACAGGTGTATACACCTTGTTCATATAGCTCTAGGGTAAACCCAAGGCTTTCTGCCTATTAGTCAAGCATTCAACAGAGTTATGTTGCCAGATCAAAGATATAGCTTTGCTGTGAGAATACTAATTTGTTTATGCTGTGGAATATTTGTTTAATGATGCAAAGATGTGTTGCATTCTTTTATGTTGCATTTGCTTAACTCTGTAAAGCTGTGTTACTAACTGTGCCTGTCTAAAACACCTGATTGCCAAAAAAGAAAAACAATTAAAAATTAAGCTGGGTGGTGGTAGTACACACTTTTAATCCCAGCATTTGGGAGACAGAGACAGGCAGATGTCTGTGAGTTCAAGCCTGGTCTACAGAGTGAGTTCCAGGACAGCCTCCAAAGCTACAGTGAAACACTGTCTCAAAAAAAAAAAAAAAAAAAAAAAAAAAAATTAAAGGATCTGATTGGTCTAATAAAGAGCCGAATGCCCAATAATAATAGAAAGGCACGAGAAAGGATAGGTGGGGCTGGCAGGCAGCAAGAATACATAAGTGGAGAAAGCTGGGAAGAAAAGATCATGGAGGGGGAGGACTCCAAGGGCCATCCACCTAGCTACACAACAAGCCGTGGAGTAAGAAGTAAAGAAAAGAAATACAGAGATAGAGAAAGATAAAAGCCCAGAGGAAAGGTAGACGGGATAACTTAAGTTAAGAAAAGCTGTTGAGAAATAAGCCAAGCTAAGGCCGGGCATCCTAAGTAAGAGTAAGACTGTGTATACTTATTTGGGAGCTGGGTGGCGGGCCCTTCAAAGAGTAAAGAGTTAAAAAAATTAACCAACAACATAGCTGGTCTCAAGTTAGTAAACCTCCTGCCTCTTCAGCATGCGCCTATCAACATAACATATGACACCACAACTGGAACTAGTATTTTTTTTTTAATAAAAAAATATTTACTTAGCCAAGCATAGTGGCTTTATACCTTTAATCTCAGCACTTGGGAGGCAGAAGCAAGCAGATCTCTGAGTCTAGCCTAGTCTACAGAGCAAGTTCCAGGACAGCCAAGGCTACAAAGAAAGACACTGTTTTGAAAAATCAGTAATAATAATAATAATAATGATAAAAAATGTTTTAATTGTGAAAATGTATGTGTATGAGTGTTTTGCTTAAGTGTGTGTGTGTGTGTGGTGTGCAATGCCTACAGAAGCCAGAAGAAGCTGGAACTGGAGTTACAGATGGTTGTGAGCTGCTGTGTGAGTGCTGGGAATTGAACCCAGGTCCTCTGGAAGAGCAGTCAGCACTCTTAACCACTCAGCCATCTTGCCAGCCCCTAGTAACTGATTCTTTATATGCACTTCTCAGGGGAAGCTAACACAAGTATTATGTAAAGATAATGTAAGAATATTCAAATATCTAATAGAAAATGATAAAAGTTGGAGACTGGGCTGGGGAGATGGCTGGTGATCAATAACATTTGCTGTTCTTCCAGAAGACCCAAGTTAGGTTCCCATGCCTTACAGCTCCCAATCAGCTGTAACTCCAGCTCCCTCGGGGTGTCTGACTCCTCTGGTTTCTGCAGGCACCTGTAATCAGCAGCACATACTCCTACAGATAATTAAACATAATAAATGAAATCTTAAAAAAATAATTAAGTTGGAGAGTGATGATGGCTAATGGCTAATAATGAAATTGAGAAGCCGAGAGGTATTGGCACACATCTTTAGTTCCAGCATTTGGGAGGCAGAGGCAGGCGGATCTCTGTGAGTTCAAGACCATCCTGAACTATAAGAGCTAGTTCCAGGACAGCCTCCAAAGCCAGAGAAACCCTGCCTTGAAAAAAAAAAAATGCAATCAATCGAGAAGTCTTTCCTTCTCTTATTCAGAAAGGCTAGTGAGAGGCCAGGTGTAGGACTACAGCCTTTAATTACAGCACTTGAGGCCAGCCAAGGCTACACACACCTTCACAAAGCAACTGAACGACCAAAGATGAAAGGCCAATGACTCATGTCATCTAAGTCAAACTTCATGGAAGACATTAAGCCCCTTTCCTATATTACTCGATAAACACTTCAAGTTGGACCCAAGGACAAGCTCCTTTAATATCACAATGCAGGTGATGCGAGACTCCAGAGCCTATGCCAGGCTAGAACTGCCACTTCTTTTCACTCTGACATCACTTACTGAGTATGCAAACACTTCAAAAAAGTATAGCAATTTTGTCATTGAGGTATGTTCTTACTATGTAGACTAGGGTGGCATAGAACTCTTTTGAGATCCACCTGCTGTTGCCTCCCGAGTACTGGGATTAAAGGCATGCAACACCACACCTGGCTCACAATATTAACGAGAGTTACTATCATATAAAAAGTTTTCAAGTGTAAACAGAAGCACAGGGATATACCTTAAGATATTCACTATATTCATCCTCAAACTTCTTGCCCCAGATACTGCTGCCTCCCCTTCCAGTACCTGTATAGCAAGATAAGCAGATCAAAAGAAGCATCTAATTAGACTTCAATGGGGATTTCATTTCAAAAAGGGGAGGGCTGCTTTATACTATATATTTATTTACTTACTTATAGAGTGGCGGGGATCCAACCCAGGGCAGTGCACATGCTAGGCAAGTACACAGCCACAGAGCGACATCCCCAGCAGCACTCTTTAAATACGTGTGTTTGTGTGTGTGTGTGGGGGGGGGGGGGAAGATCTGTTAAAGTTTGACCACAGAACTTTATGTACGCTACACAAGTGTTCTATAACTGAATTATATATCTCCAGCATTCCCTTATATATTTATTTCTTTTTTTCCCTTATTTCTTTCTTAATTAATACTTTGAGGCAGGGTTTCCTTAAGTTATCCTGGTTGACCTTGAACCTATAACCCTCCTGTCTCAACCTTCTAAGTATCTGAGATAACAGACCTATGTACCATCTAGCGTCTAGTACTTCTCCCAACTAAAAATACAGACCAGAAAAATAAAATCCTCCCAACAAGAAAACACCCCTCATTTATATTGCCCATATTTTATGGGCTAATACCTCCTTCTAAAAAAGATATTGCTGTTAGCTGGACCAAAACCAAGTACATTAATTTCATAATTACTGTATTATGGTACATGACCCAGAAGGTAGAGGCAGGAGGATTGAGAATTCGAGGCAAATCTGAGCTATGTGATGGAACCCTATCTCGAAAAAAAACTAAAAATAGGGACTAGAGAGATGGTTCGGTTGTTAAGAACATTTGCTGAACTGAACAAGGACAATAATGAACATGCTAAACCGCTTGGGGGAAAGCCCACAAGGGCTCAACCCTACATAGAAAACCGCAGGCAACTGAGTAATGCTGGGAGCAGGAGAGGTGTTCTTCCAGGGAAGAACACACCGATTGCTTGTCCAGTGCCAAGTGCTCAGCCCTGAAGACGTATTACATACATATAACATCATACAGACTCAACAGGTTACATGTGGGAATATATATTTGCCTTAGTTAGGGTTACTATTGCTGTGACGAAACACCATGACCAAAAGCAACCTGGGGAGGAAAGGGTTTATTTCACTCACAGTTCTGCAGAACAGTTCATTATCAAAAGCAGTGAGAGAAGGAACTCTCTCTCACTGTGTGAAAGGGAACCTCTGCTTTAGCTTGTGTCAAGCTAACATAAAACTAGCCAGGACATATGTACCTACAAATACACATATGCATGCAACGACAACTGATAAAAAGAGAGGCCGTGAGTTTGAAGGAGATTAAGGATGGGTACATGGAGTGCTTTGGAGGGATGAAAGGAAAGGCAGTAATGTAGTAATTAAAATACAGCATGCGCGCGCACACACACACAGACAGAGGAGGAATACTTGCTCCTTTTACAGAGGACGTATTCAGGACATGGTTACTCAAAACCATCCAAATTCCAGTTTCAGGAGATCTGATACCCTCTGCTGACCTAAGTAGTCACCAGATATGCACACAGAACACTTATATACATCTAGACAAAATACTTTTACAATAAATACATACAATTTGGGGGAGGGGGAGTTGATAGGGTTTCTCTGTGTACCCCTGGCTATCCTGTAGACCAGGTTTGTCTCAAACTCAGAGTTCTGGCTGCCTCTGCCTCCCAAGTGCTGGGATTAAAGGCATGTGCCACCACAGCCTAGCCTAAAAATAAATGTTTCTCTCTCTCTCTCTCTCTCTCTCTCTCTCTCTCTCTCTCTCTCTCTCTCTCTCTGAGACAGGGTTTCTCTGTATTGCTTTGGAGGCTGTTCTGGAACTAGCTCTGTAGACTAGGCTGGCCTCAAACTCACAGAGATCTACATGCCTCTGCTTCCTGAGTACTGGGACTAAAGGCATGTGCTACCAACACCTGGCAAATAAATGTATCTTTAAAGAAACAAAACTCTTAAACTTTCTGCAATTGTCAAAGTAGCCTTGTTATACAGACTCCATGTTTTATTTTCAGTTATTTTGCACAGTTTTTTCATATGACACATCCAACCTTCCTAATTTAATTTAGTGGAAAACTTACCTGTTGGATCTCCCGTTTGAACCATGAAACCCTTGATATTCCTATGAAATACACAGCCGTTGTAGTAATTACTGGCACAAAGAGCCAAGAAATTCTGAAGAAAATAAAAGCAATGATTGAGAAATAGTTTTGGCAGAAACTGGAGAGATGGCTCAGCAGCTAAGAGCACTGGCTGCTTTTCCAGAGGGCCCAAGTTCAATTTCCAGCACCCACATGGCAGCAACTGCTGTTCAGGGCATCTGACACTTCATACAGACATCTATGTGGGCAAAACACCAATGTACATAAAATAAAAATGTATATTTTAAAAAAAGGTCCAAAGTTCCTGAAAATGCTATCATAGTGTAACTGTGGCTTTTTAGGCACGAGCTACACTCTCTTCTCTGAAATAAAATAGTCAGTCTTCATCAGGTCCTGGGAATCCCTGCATGTGCCTGTCCCACTCTCCATATCTTAAGGCCTTGTGCTCTTCTGCAGTTAATTTCCTCCTCTTGCCTTTCCCAGCTGGAGTATTAGTGCTCTGAGGGCAGGGAATGTCTCCTACTCATCACTGTATCCTGGACATGGCTGGATAGTCTTTTGACAAATAACTGCATGAATGAAAATAGTTGACTCTCCATTTATCCCTGTCATTTCAACAGGCTAACTAACCATTCACAGAACAACTCTTATATCTTAAAAAACAAGGCAAAAGAAAAAAAGATAATGGACTCCTATGGTTACAGCTAAAGCACCTACCTACCTACACACATATACACACACACACATATGTTTAGTATGTGTGGTGTGCGTGTGTGCAGGTAAGGGAGCCCCTGTGTATATGCAGAAGCAAGAGAAGGATGAGTACCCTAATCTGTCACCCTCAGCCTTTGCCCTCTAGACAGGGCGTCTCACTGAACCTGGAGCTGACTGGTATAGAAGATCTATAGTCTTCGCATGCGCGCGCGTGTGTGTCTCCACTGAGGTTAACAGTCAGTGTGACCACCCCACATGCATGCTCTGTGAGGTCCGGCAATTTGACTCTGTCCTCATGCTTGCAAAGCAAGCACTCTTCCCTGCTGAGTCATGCCCCCAGCCCACCCTCCTTCCTCTTACTTAACTCTGACATCAGAAGTGGAGATTAGACCTGAAACAATGGTAAGCTATTCTAGGTAGTGGGCTCCAAGAAAGTTTTCTTATTTTCTAGATTGAATAATTCAATTTCAAAGTGGCTGCCCTGTTATATTAGAGTGCTTTTGTTTGTTAAGGATGGGTCTCACTATATAGCTCTGCCTGGCCTGGACTCACTCTGTAGACCTCAAACTCCAGCGGCCTCCACTCCCTGAGTGCTGCGGTTAGTGGGGCACCACCGCATTAGTTGGTTAATATTCGAACAGTGACACTCACCTCACATGTTTTGGGTGTCCTCTCACAGAAGACTTCTATTTTGATATCTCCCACATCTGTGTGCAATGTCACAGACTAAACAAAAGGAGAATGTGAGAACAAACGATACTGCTGCCAGTAACTATAGGTCCTATACTATTTCTCTGACTGAATATTCCAGATGGCAAGCTGATTAAAGACATTAAAGATCACTTGTTTGAATAGAGAGGCTCTGACAGATAAGTCATAATCATTTCTCCAAATTTATATCAATAGCAGGAAAAAAAAAAACCTCTAGAAGATTCATACAGATTGAAAAGTGGTGTCTCTGCTATATTTTGGATGCAAACATTGTAGTCAAAATAATTATTTTTACTTTGAATTTTTAAATTTTTTATGATTTATTAAAAACAATGGCTATCCTTACTGTTGATTTTTTTTTCTTTTTTCTTTTTTGGCTTTGAGACAGGGTTTCTCTGTGTAGCCCTGACTGTTCTGGAACTCACTCTATAGACCAGGCTGGACTTGAACCCACAGAAAGCCTCTGTGATTAAAGAAGTGTACCATACCTGCCTGGCTTTTATTACTGATCTTTATGTCTCAACACCATTAAAATTTAAAAGATAAAATGTTAAGGAATTCATTTTTTCAAAAACTGTTTCTACTGTTCCTTTGGGTAGTTTAATATTGAGAAACAGTTAAAAAGCAATTCCTTCTTTTATTAAAGACAACACTTGCCTCGTATTTCCTTGTGGTGTGTGCTGCCTGGTAACTTTACTCCTTTCTATATCTTATTTCAGAGACAAACACACAAAACTATTGGAAGTTTCCCTTTTTGTTTGTTTGTCCTAAAAAAATATTCATAATTTTAAAACACAATGGGCTGCAGAGACGGTTTGGCGGCAAGGAGCACTTGTTGCTTTTACAGGTGGACCTGTCCGGTTCCCAGCACCCACACCTGAAAGTGGTTCCAGCTCCAAGGAATCTGATGGGAGTAAAAACAAGCAAACCACCACCCAGTTAGAAGAATTCTACAATACTTACCATCTTCCCTCTTGATGGTTCCAGGAAGCCTTGCAGAGAAAAACTGAAGATGAGTTTCTAATCCTAAAAGAGGAATTAGTTCATTTTAACACTATCTTTCCCACCACACTTGTTCATCTTTACGGTAGATTTACAACGAAAAGCTTAGAATAACATCTTCTAAATAATCCTATCATAGAAGTGTTAAGATCTTACCCAACGCACCCCTCACCCCCAGCCCTCGGCCAACACTCTACTTATTTTGCTCATTTTTCAAGGCTCTTTCTGCAGGCTAGACACATTCCCACCCTCCGGTCTACTGGTCTAGCTGGGCACTGGCGCTCCCTTTACCCAGACGTCTGTACAGTAAATTTCACACTTCACAGTCTTTTTCAAAGCCCAGGTCTTACTAACCAACCTGACAATCGTATTTAAGCGCACTTTTCCCGTGCGCCCTCTCTATTTGCTTTCCCTGTGGTAACGGTCACTAGTAACAGTACATTCTTCGATCTAAAGTCCCAGAAACACCCTCTCCAGCCCGAGAACTCATCACGAGTAACCAAGAAACAAAACGGTGCCAACGTGGGGTGCAGCAGGCATCGCGTGCACGAATAAAAGGAGAAATGGCACGCCTAAAAGGAGAAATGCCGTTACCCCACACTTGTCCACTTCGCTCAGCACCGCCGCCGCCGGAACAGAAAAGACCCAACTTCAGGTACCCGCATGTCTGGGTTCCAAACGAGTGTTTTTGCCCCACCGGAAGTACAGCGCGAGAACACCTACTTCCCCGTCAGTCTTCCCTCTCAGCACCCCATCTGACAGCGAGAGGGCTCTCCAGACAACCACTGAGAAACAACCGGCTTTGTCCCCGCAACCTTCCGTCTCTGGAGTCGGAAGCAAACATGCACGGGACCACTTCCGCCCAACTTCTTTCCCACATTGCCGGTAGCTTCAGAGCGGAAGTGACGCAAGAAGAGTTTCTGGGACTGGTGAGTAGTGGGCGAGTGAAAGGCTCGCGGGGCTATCTGTTCCTCTCAGTGAGGCTGCGCATCGGGGAGGGCTGTAGCGATTACACGGTGCCACGGAGGATGGGGACAGGAGAGATAGGGGCGGAACACTCCCTTTGCTGCAGGAGGGGCGAGGTTCCTGACCCAAGGATTAAAGCTGTGCCACATGGCCCTTGGTTATTTTGGAAAAGATCGTGAACCAGCTCTTTTACTCATATGCTTTATGCCTCAAAGTGCACGACTGGACTCTACATAAATAGCATTTCCTGTGTTTTGACTCCAGATACGGTTTTACCTGGTTTCTATATGCTGTCATCTGCACACCTGGTACCTACAAGTGTCCGGCTGGCCCCATCCTGGATCCGCAGCTCTTCTCGTTCCTTCATGGATCTGAAGGCTCTGCTTTCCTCCTTGAATGACTTTGCATCGCTCTCATTTGCTGAGAGTTGGGACAATGTGGGATTGCTGGTGGAACCAAGCCCTCCCCATACTGTAAATACACTCTTCCTGACCAACGACTTGACTGAGGAGGTCATGGAGGAGGCTCTGCAGAAGAAGGCAGATCTCATTCTCTCCTACCATCCGCCAATTTTCCGGGCCATGAAGCACATAACTTGGAAAACCTGGAAGGAGCGCCTGGTGATCCGGGCCCTGGAGAATAGGGTCGCCATCTACTCTCCCCACACAGCCTATGATGCCGCACCCCAGGGAGTCAACAACTGGTTGGCCAAAGGGCTTGGTGAGAAACCTCGTTCCTTCAGTATTTAGTGATTTTGTTACATATACTTTGAAGTTTTAGAATGTCTTCGTAGTAAAGCTTGCATTGTTTTTAGGGGAAATGTTTTTTTTTTTTCCTCTCTCTATTTTATATAGTACTAAAAGTGTGTTGCTTAACTTTGGTAATTGGGTTTCCTTTGAAAATGTATTTATTTTTATATCTGTTGAGTGTTTTACCTGCTTGTATGCAAGTGTCCCTCATGTGTACAGTGCCCACGTAGGCCAAAAGAGAGTGTCGGATCCTCTAAAGTTGGAGTTATAGTCCATTGATGAAGGGCTCCAGCAGGCTCGAGTATGGCAAACATGGTGCCAACAGGTTTTGCTTTTTGGACCCCTCTCCCGCTTGCTAATCTGTTCTATTACATTCCTAAAGCTAGGCCCTGAAATCCATTTCATTATTTGGCTAACATGTCCAATCAGGATTTACCAACTCCCCAAGCAGACTCCCCCTTTTTCCTCCTTAAAACCCAGTCCTGCAATAACCACCTTTCTTGCTTGCTTGTGCTTGCGGTGGCTCTTGCTGCGTTTGCTCTTGCTGCGTTTGCTGCCCTCCCCTCTCGCACCCCTCCAGGGTAATACATCTCCTTTGTGCCAAGAATGTGTATAGTTACATCCAGTTCTGACTCCAAAGGTGCCAACCTCCCTTACAGCTATGAAGTGCTGGGAATCAAACACAGGTCCTCTGCAAGAACAAGTATTGCTCTCCACCACTGAACCAGCGCTCCAGCCCAAGTTTCATTCGAAAAATGAACTATTTATTAAGGCTGAAGAATTGGCTCAGCAGTTAAGAAAACTTTTTGTTCCCAGCACCCACAAGGAGGCACACAACCTTGGGTAACTCCAGTCCTAGGGGAATCAATACCCTCTTTTGGCCTCTGTGAACACACATGTGATGTATATATATAATACAGGCAAAACACTCATACACATAAAATAATGTAATACATAAATCTAAACAAAGTCTTTGGAGGAAAAAAAAAAGAAAAATGAAACATTGTAAATTAGGCTTGGTGTGTATAAGTCTGTACTCCATAATCTTATACTTTAAGAGTTCAGGAAAGGTGGGCGGTGGTGGTGCACGCCTTTAATCCCAGCACTCAGGAGGCAGAGGCAGGCAGATCTCTGTGAGTTCGAAACCAGCCTGGTTACAAGAGCTAGTTCCAGGACAGGCTCCAAAGTTAAAGAGAAACCCTGTCTTGAAAAACCAAAAAAGAAAAAAAAAAAAAAATTGTTCAGGAAGCTGAGTCAGGAGAGCTTGAGTTTAAGGCCAGCCTGAGCTGTATAGCCATACAATGGCTACACCAAATATCATCCCACCAAAACCAAACCAACCATGGGATATTTTTGCTCTACTAATGGGTCTCCTTAGCTCAGGCTGGCCTTGAACTCTATGTAATTCAGTTCTATTGCCATCATGAAGGGAAACCAGGGCAGGAACCTGCGGGCAGGAACTGAAGTAGGAGCCATAGAGGAACACTACTTACTGGCTTGCCCCTCATGGCTCAGTTAGCCTACTCAGGGTCCTGGGTTTTCCTACATCTGCCCTTAATCAAGAAATGCCCCACAGTCTTGCCTAGTGCCGATCTGACCGAGGCAGTTTTTTCAATGAGGCTTCCTTTTCCCAGGTGACCTTGGCTTGTCAAGCTGACAAAAGCTAGCCAGCACAGAGGGGGATGAGTAAGCAGACTGTGAGTCTTCATTGCTATGTGGCTTCATGATTGTTCAGTCGGATGACACCGTGTCAGTTCCCGGCTTCATGATTGTTCAGTCGGATGACACCGTGTCAGTTCCCCGGGGCACTCTGAGCTTCGTGAATCAAAGCTCAGGACTTTCAGGAGATGCCTTCTGGGTTAGTTACGTAGACGCTAAGGTTTTCGTCTGGTTTGTTGTTTTGTTTTTATTTATTTATCTTTGTTATTATTGTGTGACTGTGGGGGCACACATTTGTGGGGGTCAGAGGACAACTTTCAGGAGTGGGTTCTCTTCCATCGTGGGTTTCTGGAACTGACCTCAGGTACCTTTACCCAATGAGCCATCTCACTGCCCTCCCCCACCCTAGGAGGAGAAGGGACTTGATCCTCCTGCTTCAGTTTCCTAGTGCTAGAATGAGAGCCACTCCTAGCACAGCATCAGGACCTCTCTGAGTGCACAATGAGTGTTTCAGAACTCATCTGGGGCTAAAGCAATTTCGTTGTTGTTTTGTTTGTTTGAGACAGTCTCACTATGTAGCCTTGGCTGACCTAGAACTTGCTATGTAGATTAGGCTGGCCCAGCCTCTGGCTCTGCCTCCCCAGTTCTGGGATTAAATGTATGCACCACCACACCTGGCCTTGGACTGAAGCCTTGATAATAAAATGATCATTATAAATGTGATCAACAAATAAGTATTTGTGATCTATAGTCTTTGATTTAGATGAATAGATTGACCAAACAGTGAATAATTAAAAAAAAAAAAAGTCAGTGATTCAGTCTTTTTTGTCGAGGATTTCCTGAAATCGGAATCTTCTGGAAAATAATTGTGAAGATAGATTTTATTTTGTATGTCCAGACCAAATCTTTAGATTATAGTGACTGGTAATGAGCATCTAATGCTTATGTATGTATGTTCACATATATAAACAGGAAAGTGAATTCCAAGACATTTCATATAGATTTTACTTATAGTAGTTTATCTCTTTAATTCTAAAGCACTACAGAAGCCTTGATTTCCCCACAACTTTTTCTTCAGGAACTTGCACTACCAGACCCATCCACCCTTCCAAAGCTCCTAACTGTCCCACAGAGGGAACTCACCGGCTAGAATTCAGTGTGAACCACAACCAAGACCTGGACAAAGTCATGTCTACAGTGAAAGGAATTGGAGATGTTTCTGTCACTTCTTTTGCTGCTAGGTACATTGTATATTCCTCTGGTTTAAAAAAGTATTTCATGTTATTTATTTAGCATGTGTATGTGTGTGGACACGTGCACACCATAGTGCATGTGTGGAGGTCAGAGACATCTTGGGGAAGTAGTTCCTTCCTCCCACTGCATGGGTTCCAAAGGTTGAAGTCGCACAGGCTTGGCAGTAAGAACCTTTCTTTACCCACAACCCATCTTGCTGTTCTGTTGTTTTGTTTGTTTGCATTAGTTTTTCCTTTGGGACAGGTCTCATGATGTATGCAAGCTGGCTGCAAACTCCTTCCCTTGCCTCCAAGTGTTGGGGTAACAGATGTGAGCTACCGCTCCTGGCTCTTTTTCTGTTTTAGTTGTGTTTATTTATGTATATGAGAGTTTTATCTGCACTTATGTCTGTGCACCACATGTGTGCCTGGGGCCAAGGAGGCCAGAAGAGGGCAATGGATCCCCTGAGACTGGAAAGACAGACAGTCATGAGCTACTTGGTGGGTGCTCTATAAGGGCAGCCAGTACTCTTAACTGCCAAGCCATCCCTGCAGCCCTACATAAAGCATTTTTAAACCTTCTGGCTATTCTGAGAGATAAGTGTTTCTACTTTAAAGGATGTAGCCAGACCCTAGTGATGTATTCATGTAAGGCTCAGTTTTATCAGTTTCCAGGAAAGCAATGGTTCCCAAGCACTTGAACTGATGAGGTTCATCATTTGTTCATTAAAGTTAGGATAAGAGATACTCTCAGTTAATTCATTCTAATAGGAAGGAAGAAAGGGAGGGAGGGGAAAAAGATGGGCTGGTGAGATGGCTTAGTGGGTAAAAGTAGATACTACCAAGAGTGATGCCCTGAGATCAGTCCCTGGAACCCACATGGTGGAAAGAGAATCCACTCCTGCAAGTTGTCCTCTGACTTCCACATGCCCAAATGCACAATATAATTAAAACAAAACAACAGGAAAGGAGAGGCACCAAGACACACAAGGTAAGCCTTAACAATTGTTTTTTAAAACAAAGATAAAGATTTTTTATTAAATTTGAAATCTGTATAGGGTTACAAGAGGGGATTGATTTGATGCATGGATTGTCTGTTTTGTGTTTTTGTGAAAGGCTCTCACTATTTAGTTCATACTGACCTCAAACTCATAGCTCTTCTGTCTGAGTGTCTCAAATACTGTGATTATAGACATGTATCTCCACACCTAGTGGAATAATGGCTTTTATTATTATTTTATGTGCAATGCATTGGTGTTTTGCCAGCACACATGTCTGTGAGAGGCTGTTGGACTTCCTGTAGCTAGAGTTACAGATAGTTGTAAGCTGCCATGTTGGGAATTGAACCTGGGTCCTCTGGAAGAGCAGTCAGTGCTCTTAACCACGGAACCATCTCACCAGCTCATAGAATAATGGTTAAGTATAGATTTCTTTTGCTTTGTACATTGTAGGCAAGCATTTTCCTACTGTGCTACATCCCCTACATTAAATATAGATTTTTTAAAATGATAAAATCATTACAAATATCCTCAAGTAGATTGAGGAGAATTTCCAGAATCTAAAAACAAACAAACAAAAAAAAACCACAAACAAAAACCTCATTCAAGGAACTTTGAATAGTTTTAAATCACAGGAGTTATTCTGCCACACTGAAATTCCATGCAAATCAAAAGAAAAATAAATTGAAAATAAGGCATTAAAAAAATTCAAACGAATAGCTGGGTGGTGGTGGCACTTGCTTTTAATCCCATCACTTGGGAGGCAAAAGCCAACCTGGTCTACAGAGTGAGTTCTAGGAAAGCCAACGCTACACTGAGAAACTCTTGTCTTGAAAATCAGCCCCCCCTCCCAAACACACACACACACACACACACACACACACACACACACACAAGCCAAAAATTCAAACACTAGCTTCACAATAGCTCAGTGGGTAAAGAAAGGTGCCTGCTGCCAAGCCTCATGCCCTGACTTTGATCCCTGTACCCACATGGTGGGAAGAGAGAACCAAGTCCCCAAAGTTGTTCTCTGACTTCCACACATGCTATGGTGTGCATGTACACACACAGTCAACAAAAGGACTTGAGATGCAAATAATCCCTGCCCTTGTTTACAGGGAACTAGGTACGTCTGCTGTTTTTATAGCTCACACTGGCCTCCGATTTTGATCCTTTTGTCTCAGCCTTCCAAGTGTTGGGATTTAGGCATGTGTCATCCCACCCAGCTGAGAAGTAGGTATCCTTCCAAACATACATAGATAGGAATAGAAAGAAACATAGTTTTGTTTTACATTTTGGTTTTATTTATTCATTTTTGACACAGGCTCTCACTAGCTTACTATATACCTACTGGAACTTGTATGTAGACCAGGCTGGCCTCAAACTAACAGAGATCTGCCTGCCTCTGGTCCTGGAGTGCTAGGATTAAAGGTGTATACCACATCACAGGGCATACACATTCTTTTCTTACCAAATGACATTCTGTGGGTGCTGGGAACTGAGCCCTGGTCCATTTTTACAAAGAGCACAGGCATTTTTAATCGCTAAGTCATCCATTCCATTTCTTCAGCCCGTTTGTTTGACTTTATCTTTTTTGTTTTTGAGACAGGGTCTCTTCTATGTAGTCCTAGCTGTTACATAGACCAGGCTAGCCTTGAACTCACAGAGAACCCCCTGCCTTTGCCTTCTAAAAGCTAGGATCAAAGGTATCCCACACTATGTTTGGTTTATTTGACTTTGTATAGCTTGAGTCTCATGTAGCCCAGCTTGGCCTCTTAACTCCTGATCTTGCCTCTACTTTCCAAGTGCTGGGATTATAGTCATGTGCTACTCAACCTGGTGTCTTTTATTTCTAGAATTCTTTTTTGTTTGTTTGTTTTGTTTTGTTTTTCGAGACAGGGTTTCTCTGTATCGTTTTGGAGCCTGTCTTGGAACTCTCTCTGTAGACCAGGCTGGCCTCAAACTCACAGAGATCTGCCTGCCTCTGCCCCCAAGTGCTGGGATCAAAGGCCCGGGCCACCAACGGCTGGCTAATTCTAGAATTCTACAATCAATAAAACTCTGTGTTTTGTTTCTGTTTGGAGGCAGGTTGTGGCTATCTGGCACAGTCTAGCCTTAGTCCTTCTGCTTTAGCCTCCTGAGTGGTAGAATTACAGGCATGTGCCCCCAGGCTTGCCTATAGAACTTTTTTTTTTTTTTTTTGTAGTTTTTAAAAAATATATATCTTTATTTTTTCTTATTTTACATATCAATCCCAGTGCCCTCTCTCTCCCTCCCTCCCTCCCTCCCTCCTATACCCCTCAGCCCCCCCTCCTGTCCCATTTCCCCTCTACTCCCCAGGGAGGGTGATGCCCTCCAGGAGGGATCATCAAAATCTGTCAAATCTTTTGGAGCAGGGTCTTTGTCCTCCTTCCTGCCTTTATTGCCTATAAAACTCTTAATACCAGTTTGTTTTGAGAATCCCTAAAGTGCTCTTTCTCTGAATGTGGCTCAAGGACTTGCTATCCTTTATGGGCACTTAATGCAAATACAGATTTGTGGCTCATTTCTATTCTGTGTAATTTGGATTCAGTCATTGAAAATTACCCTCAGAGGATGAAGATACTTGCTGCCAAGCCTGATGGGACTTGGTTTTGATCCTTGGGACCTGCATGATAGAAAGAGGAAATCAACTCCATGAGTTGTCCTCTGATACACACGCACGCACGCACACATACATGTAAAAAGATTTTCCATTTTTTTTTTCTATCTCTGACTATAGATGTTCTATTTTACTGGCATATATTGAAGGATTTAGCCACTATTGTTTTAAGCTGGTAGGCTTAAAATGTCAGAGGGTTCTGAGGCAGCTGCAGTTTGAAAATACTGTATTAGTTGGGATTAAGCAAGTTCTTCTGATCATATCTTTGGTTTCATGTAAATCTTCATAGCAGGTTATAGACTGTCCGGTGTTTAAAATGCTTCATCCTAGTCAAACAACTGATTTTTTTCTAGGTGTGATGATGAGGAACAAACATGGATCAGTCTGAACTGTACTCAGAAAGCTTTGATGCAGATGCTAGCTTTTCTCTCCCAGAACAGACAACTTCATCAGAAAACTGAAATTCTCTCACTGGAGAAGGTAAGAATTTCTTTCTGCCCTTATGCTGCTGTGCATTTTAACAGCTGTGTTGATGCATACCTGGCATGCAGATTGTGTGTGTTTAATGTGTGGATGTTGGCAGGTTGTATTACTATCGTTCTTGCATTGCAAATTCATTTGTAAACTTGCCATCAAGGGCCAGCAAGATGGCTCAATAGGTAAAGGTGGTTGTGGTGCTAGCCTGGCAACCTGAGTTTGCATCCCAGAACTCATAGGTGCAGGAGAGAATTGACTGTGTGTACACACACAGACATACAGACCCGAAGTATGCTGAGGACATATCCCTGGACACTATATTGTGAGAAGGAGATAGTCTGGGATTAGGAAAGCATTGGTACTTACTTCTTTGTGGTCTTAGACTTGGGTATTTATTACCCCTCCTGTATTGTGTCAGTTCCTTTTCTGTTGCTGTGGCAAGTCACCATGACCAAGGCAGCTTACAAAAAGGAAAAAAGTGTGTAATTGGGTTTACAGTGTCAATGGGTTAAAGATGGCAGGGAGCAGGCCGGGCAGCACCAACTGCTGATAGCTCACATCCTGATCCACAAATAGGGAGAAGGAACACAGGGAATGGCTTGAGTCTTTTGAAACCTCAAACCCCACCCCCAATGACCTCCTCTAACCAGGCCACACCTCCACATCTTTCCTACCAACTGGAGATCAAGTATTCAAACATAAGGAGCTTTTGGGGTAGAGCTATTTTCACTCAACCACCACATTTAGGTTTGTGGCCATGTCATCAGGAAAAGTATATTTAATCCAACTTCAGAAGTCCTCATAGTCTTTCACAATCCCAATATTTATTAAAAATCCGAGTCCAGTGTCTTTTCTGAGTATCTTAGTTAGGGTTTTACTGCTGTGAAGAGACACCATGACCACAGCAACTCTTATAAAGGAAAACATTTAGTTAGACTTGCTTTTACTTTCAGAGGTTTAGTCCATTATCCTCATGAGAAGCATGGCTTTACTTTTACAGTTCACAAAATGGCTTCTCAGTGCCTCTCTGCAGGGACTTTCCTGCCTCACACTTAGCTTCCATAACCACGGAGGAAGATTCATTAACTCTGTGTTAGTGCACCCTTCGGGACCCTACAGCTGGAACTACGTGGACAACACTGCCAAGTTCAGCTGCCCACTGGAGGTGGGGCCTGCCCTTGGAACACTTCTGCAGAAGCTTTGGTGATTGTAGCTTTTTCCCTTAGGCAGTTTTCACAAGTTGGAAGTTCAGCTGGGTGGGGTCTTCCCCTGACTGCATGTCTCCCTTTCCCATCAGGCCTCTGCCTATCTTTTGGTTGATTGTTAAATTTCCTGGTGTTCTTTTACTTTTCAAACTACATTTTGTATTTCTTTTTGCCCTGCTTGCCCAGTTTCATTGTAGATGTGTGTGTGTAAGAGTGATAACTAGTAACCAATTGACAGGCTATCTTGATTTAGCCTCAAGAATATTTTTAGAACAAGAGCAGAAAATAGCCACATTCCTCACCACATGCCATATATCACAAGACTAGTGTGGCTAGCCAGTGGATCTTGTTGAGTAGGAGGCCAGCCTGGTATACAGGCCCCTCTGAAACTTTGAGCTGAGCTTCCTCTGTCCACATTGCTCACATCATTTGGTTTAGAATGTCTTTCCATGTCCTGTCATAGTGTCCATTTTTATCTCCTTTCTGGTTTTCTTTAAGTTCTAAGTCCCAGTAAAACCAAAGATTCCAGTCACAGCTCATTTGGTCATTCATATATATATAGAATTTTATGTGTAGGAGTGTTTGTTGACAGTGCCTATGGGAGCCAGAAGAGGGTGTTGGAACCCTTGGACTTAGAAGTAGTTGTGAAATGCCATGTGGGTACTGTGACCCAATCCTGGGTCTTCTGCAAGAACAGCCAAGTGCACCTCATTGCTGAGCCCTCTCTCCAGCACCGTTTGTCATTCCTTTTTGTTTCTGTAACAGTAGCATCTACCTTGAATTTAAAATTTTACTTTTGCTTATGTGTTAAATATCTAGCAGGGCCAGGCACATGCCTTTAATCCCAGCACTTGGCAGGCAGAAGCAGGAGGATCTCTGTGAGTTTGAGGCCAGCCTGGTCTACAGAGTGAGTTCCAAGACAGCTGGAACCCTTTCTTGCAAAAAAAAAAAAAAAAAAAAAAAAAAAAATCTAGCAGGGTGTGTGTGAGCTTCTAGAAGTTAGAATGTTTTTGTTGGATGTGCATCCTAAACTTTGGCTTAAGCTGCCACATGCTTATGTACATTAATCTTACTGATTCAAGTTGTTCTATACATTTCTTAGGGATCAATAATATCCCCCCCCCCTTTTTTTTTTTTCTTTTGATTTTTCCAGACAGGGTTTCTCTATAGGTTTGGAGAGTGTCCTGGAACTCTCTTTGAAGACCAGGCTGGTCTCTAACTCTCAGAGATCCGCCTGCCTCTGCCTCCTGAATGCTGGGATCAAAGGCGTTCACCACCAATGCATGCTTATGGGATTGATAATATTCCTAACATGAGTGTCTCTTTAGCCTTTGCTTCTGGATACTGGAATGGGACGGTTGTGCACATTGGATGAATCGGTCTCCCTGGCAACAATGATAGAGCGAATCAAACAACACCTAAAACTCTCTCATCTTCGCTTAGCTCTTGGAGTAGGAAAGACTGTAGGTAAGTGTCTTTCATCATCTAGCAGATCTGTGGTAACCTTGGGCAGATTTTGGTTTTGGTTTACTTTTTCATAGAACATAGTATGGCTATGAACTCCTTTGTCTGTCTCTCAAGTGCTGGGATTACAGGTGCGTCCTGCTTTTATTCATGTAAGTAGTAAAGAACGTGTTAGTAGTTCACGGACATAACTGGTTTACTTTGTCAACCAGGATGGACTGGGCTGTAATGTGGAATACATTTCCTGAGCCTAAATGATAGAACTTATTTCTTAGTATTGGAAGAATGTTAATTATAAACTGGTAAGTGTTGCAACAAGAATAGAGGGTTTTAAATCATTAGGTAAAAATTCTAGATTAGGCTGTGGTCCACACCTTCTAGCACCTGGCGGAAGCAGGTAAATCTCTGTGCTTGAGCTGGATCTACAAAGTGAGCTGCATCTAAGGCTACACCCTGAGATCCTGTCTTTAAAAAGGAGGAGAGGAAGAGGTACCTAATATATCCTGGGTTGTTTTTGTTTTTTTTTAAATTTTGTTAACTTGAAGTGTTCGTGTGTATGTTGTCAGACCCCCTGGAGATAAATGACAGGTGCTTGTGAGCCACCAGACCCGGGTACTGGGAGCCAAACTTGGGTCCTTGGGAAGAGCAGCAAGTGTTTTTAAACTGACCATCCATCTCGGCTGCTCTGTGTTTCTCTTTCTTTAACTTGCCTTCTTGCACTGTCTGCAGACCCAGCTGAGGTTTGTTGTTAGCACTGAGGCAAAGCTGGAGCTGCAACAAACACTGCTATTGCTACTCAGACGCCCGGGATTTGTGCAGCCGCATCCGAATAACTGTGCCCTCACGTTCTCTGCTTAGTGCCAAAGATGGAGGTTTGCCTAAGTTTAAAAATTGCTTTTGGAGCTGGGCACGCTGCCACATGCCTGGATTCTGAGCATTTGTGGAGCTGAGACAGGAAGGATCATTAATTTTGGCTAGCCCTGAATTTAGGGCTATCCTCACACATGCTGGGATTACACCATGCTCCCTCCCCCCACGCCCCAACCCTGCTACCTATCTATCTCTATTTAGGTTTTTGGAGATAGGGTTTCTTTGTGAAACAGCCCTGTCTGTCTCAGGACTCACTCTGTAGACCAGGCTGACCACTCATGGAGATCCGCCTGCCTCTACCTCCCAAGTGCTAGGATTAAAGGTGTGCCCCATTACACAATAATTCATATACTGGTAAAGAGACTAGTCAGTCTAAATCAGGGTTGGGATTTGCAAGTTGTAGTGTTCAACTGAAAGGGGTTATGTCTCTCTATAATAACATCTCTTGCTTTTGTCTTAAAGAGTCCCCAGTCAAAGTTGTGGCCCTGTGTGCTGGTTCTGGGGGCAGCATTCTACAAGGAGTGGAAGCTGACCTTTACCTCACAGGTAGGACCATTTCTAGATCTCTTCCTCAACGTTGCTTTACTTCTTAAACATTCAAAACTAGATTTCAGGGCTGTGCCTGGCACAGGTTGAAGTGTAATCCACAGCCTTTTCCCTTTCATTTCTATGTTTGTTTTTGCAGTGCAGGGTGTTAGAAGAGCTTCCTACATGCCAGCAAACATTCTTCTACCAAGCTATACCACCAACCCCTACTGTTTTGAACTTGAAAGGAACTGAAGAGATACTGTGTTGTCTCTAGAGGGGAGAAATTACTTGACAACCCATTAGTTTGCCCCTGAAATTGACTTCAGTTGATATTTCCTTAACTGTTTTTCTGAGATTTCATGTTAGCTAATGTGGTGCTTCTACCTTGTTACCTGGGCTGGAAGGAGGTTCCTTTTGATCCAAAAGCTAAGTATCAGTTCTGTCAGTCTAAGTTCTTCCCTTATCGCTACTCAAGCATATATCCTACCTGAAGTACTGCAATGTCCCCCTCTCCTTTTTTTTGTTCTCTTTGGAGGTTTTATTTTTACTGTGCCATGGCACACACATGTAGCACTCAGAAGACAACGTTTAGGAGTTGGTTCTCACCCTGTGGGTTCCTGAGACTGACCTTGACTTGTCAGTTTGAGGGCAAGTGCCCTTAGCCGCTGAGCCACTGAGGCAAGGTCTCACCGGGTAGTCCTGCCTAGCCTAGAACTCGTCTGGTAGACCAAGTTAGTTGACCCTCCCATGTGTCCAGGTGAAGCGTAAGTGGGCCCCCTCCCCCCTGCTTAAGAGCTTTCTCTGTGTATGGTGCCTCTTTCTTCTCCCGTTTTGTACTTTTAGTGATGATCTTTAAAAAAAGACACTGCCTTTTTGAGATGGGGGTCTCACTACAGAGTGAGTAGTAGTGGATGACCTAGAACTTCAGAGATCATCTGCCTCAAGTGCTGGGACTAAAGGCATGCACCACCATGCTCATCTTTTTCTTGTGTTTTGAAACTAAGTCTCACAGTGAGACTAGGCCAACCTCAGACTTGCCCTGCCTCAGTGTGCATCCCCCTCAGCCCTGTTTAATTCTTACTTAAAGAAGTATTTGAGGGCTGAGGAGATGCCCAGTTGGTGAAGTGATTGCCTTGCCCACAGTCCTGGTGCTAGGAGACAAGGGGAATCTCTGGGGTTTACTGGTCAGCCAGTCTAGAGGAGTTGCTGAGCTCGGAGTTCAATAAGACTTGATCTAAAAATATAAAAATGTACTAATTCCCCACGTTCACATAGGGGATTCCTGGTTCTGAGATGACACAAGGAACCTCGGGTAAAGTGTCAGTGTGTCTGGACTTCCCACCTATGTGTGTACACATAATCCTTTACATACACATAGGAGGCTTGGCTTTGTCATGACTAACTATGTCCTCAAACCAAGCAGAGGTAAAGGAAGCTCAATTAAAGAATTGTGGGGAGGCTGGCAGCACAGGGATGGGTCAGGAGGACCGCCTTCAGAGAAAACTTGAACTTCAGTTTGAGGAACTATGGTGACCTTGATGATCGCATCCTTTACCTGGCCACTGTTCTGAGCAGAGCCAGAGGACTAACGGCATTTTAAAGTGACCTCCCCCTTGTGCACCCGCTTCTACACCTACATATGACCCCTGACCCTGAGGGTTAGAAAAAGTGAGATGAAGACCTCTAGGACCAGGCTCCAGGGTCAGCCTCTAACCATTCCCATCGCTGCTCCTCCTGAATCTATGTTGTATTATCTAGCACTGTCTTTTTTATAAAAAAGTACATACTACTTACACCCGATGGGTTTCATTACGACACATTCATGCATGTATACTCTGAACACACTCTTGCCCTTCCATTCCTGCTGAACCCTCTCCTCTTCCTTCCCAACAAGCTCCTGTTTTCTCTTATGACCCAGTGAGTCTCACTAAAGTTGCTCACACACCTCCATGGGCACCCATACATGAATGACATGTACCATACACACATACACATAGTTAAAAAAAAAATAAAAAACAAATCTAGTTCTTAGGAATTATACAGTAATTGTACACAAGATAAATTCAAGCAAGGGTGATTGCATACAAACTATTCCTAACAGTGAACCGATACTATTGTATAGAGTTGAAAATAGTTCAATTTCCCAAAAAGAACACTTTTGTTTTTTTAACATTTATTTTATGTATATGGTGCTCTACTTGCATGCTTGAAGAGGGCATCAAATCCCATTATAGGTAGCCATTGGTTGCTGGGAATTGAACCCAGGACCTCTGGAAGAGGTCTTAAGAGGTCCAGTGTTCTTAACTGCTGAGCCATCTCTCCAGCCCCCACTTTCATTTTTACATTTAAAAAAATTAGCTGGGATCTGATGGTGCATGCCTTAAATCCCATGACTTGGGAGCTAAAGGCAGGAGGATCTCTGTGAGTTCAAGTTAAGCCTGGTCTACAGAACAATTTCCAGAACAGCCAGGGCTACACAGAGAAACCCTGTCTCAAAAAAAAAAAAAAAAAAAAAAAAAAAAAAATTAAGATTTTAATTTTTAATGGCTTTATATCTGTAAACACTGATTAAAGTTTATTTTTTTATAAACAAACCAAATTGTATGTAACACATACACAGGCACATACTTTATTATTTCAAGTTTCATATGTATTGATCATTTTTATCTCTCTTCCCCTACAATATTTTTGTTTTTAAAAATTGAAAACATATTTGAGTTTTCCCTGTATCTTTTCACAGTAACTTTTTTTCTTCTTTCTTTTTGGTTGGTCAAGACAGGGTTTCTCCGTATAACAGCTCTGGTTGTCCTGGAACTCTCTCTGTAGACCAGGCTGGTCTCAAACTCAGAGATTGGCGTCTGCCTCCTGAGTGCTGGGATTAAATAAATGCACTACCACTGCCACAATAACAAGGCATTTTCCCCCCCTTTGGTTGCTTATTTGTGGATAGGGTCTCCTATAACCCAGAATCGCCTCAAACTATTTAGCTGAGGCTGCCCTTGGACTCTTGATCCTCTTGCCTTGGCTTCCCAAGTTCCAGGACTACACCATCATCCTTGGCAGAATTTTGCATCAGTCAGAGAAAAATATTTATGTCAAAAATGCTACAAAACTGGGTTGTTGTTTTTTGTTTGGCTTTGGTTGTTCAAGATAGGGTTTCTCTGTGTGGCTTTGTAGACCAGGCTGGCTTTGAACTCACAGATATTCACCTTCTGCCTCCTGAGTGCTGGGATCAAAGGTGTGCACCTCCACTGCCTGTCTGTTTGGAGTAACTGTTGAGTAACTGTTTTGAGTAACACAAACATAAGAGGGAAATCCTACACCTGGACTTATGTGACAAGTTAAAGCAAAAATGCTTGCCAGGTGGTGGTGGCACACTTTTAATACCAGGAGGCAGAGGCAGGTGAATCTCTAAGTTCTAAGCCAGCCTGGTCTACAGAGTGAGTTCCAAGCCAGCCTCCCAAGCTACAGAGAAACCCTGCCTCAAAAACAAAAACGAAACAATAAAAAATGCTGGCACTTTCAAAATACTGTATGAAACTATCTTCAGGCCATAAAAATAAAGTTAGATGAAATTCATATTTTGTGCTCAAGGGATAAACACACAGCAGCACACCCACATGATATGGGCAGCAAACACAGGACCTTGTGCACGAGAGGCAAGCATTCTACATCTGACCACACCGTAAGCTCTCCCTCTGTTTCGGTGCTCTGGTGTAGCGCGGCATTGCATCCATTCCTTCAGAATACAAACATGGGCTTTCTGTCACAGTGAATCAGGCTGCATAGATTCCATGTCTAATATTAAGAAGTTGCTTTTTCCTCCTTTGGCAGGTGAAATGTCCCACCATGATGTTCTGGATGCTGCTTCCAAAGGAATAAATGTCATTCTTTGTGAACATAGCAACACTGAACGAGGCTTCCTTTCCGATCTTCAACAAATGCTGGGTGTTCACTTGGAGAATAAGGTTAATATTATCCTGTCTGAGACAGACAGGGACCCTCTTCATGTGGTTTAAAACATATAGGACATCACCGTGACACAAGCTCCACATCATTTGGATTAAAATAGGAATGTGTGGGAAGAGTTAGTGGTGCTGTCATCCTTTATTCCAACAACATCATTTTCAGTTCGTCAGTCTGGCCCACCAAATGTGAAAGCCACATGTAAAGAGTACAATAAAGACAAACATTCATTGTAAGCTCTTGGAAAAGACAACTAAAATCTGTATATAAACAAGGTATTTTTTGTTTGGTTTTTTTATTTGTGACAGAATCTCATGTAACCCGGGATAGCCTCCACCTCACTATTCAGCTGAGGCTAGCCTTGGACTTTTGATCCTCATGCCCACCAAATGCTGGGATTAATAAAGGCATGCACTTAACATGCCTGGAAAGTAGCTCTGTAAAAATGGGTGTTTCAGTCTCAATGATCTCTGCCCTTTGGTTAATCTTAAACATCATTTAAAAACAGATTTGGAGCTGGGTGTGTAGTACACAACTATAATCCCAGTATCTGGCAGGCAAAGGTATGAAGTTTATGCTGTCCAAGCTTGCCTGGAACCCTAAATCTCCAAAGAAAAAGAAAGAAAGCAACTGGAGAGATGGCTCAGCAGTTAAACATACTTGCCGCTCTTGCACTAGACTGGAATTCACTTCCCAGCACTAACATGGCAGCTCACAACCACATGTAACTCCAGCTTTAGGGCACCCACACTCACAAAGACAAGAAAAACAGAAACAAAAAATGGATTTAGATTTATTTCTAAGCAGCATTTTGGGGTGATGAAGACATTCTATGTGCTTTTAAGTTAGGTATCAAAGAAATGTTAATCGGGCTTTTAAAAAATTATAGGTCAGCCAGGTGTTGGTGGTGCTCACCTTTAGTCCCAGCACTTGGGAGGCAGAAGCAGGTGGATCTCTGTGAGTTCGAGACCAGCCTGGTCCACAGAGCAAAGAGTTCCAAGACAAGCTCCAAAGCAATACAGAAAAACCCTGTCTTGAAAAAAAAAAAAAAGACAAATAAATAAATAAATAAATCATAGGTGATCACTATCTACATTTGTATTCCTATAATTTTGTTTTATAGTGGTATAGGAATCAAACTAAGCACCTCGTTTTAAGCTGGCACTGTGAACCTGGGAGAGAGAGCCTAAAGCTGAGGCAGACCGAAGTCTCATGCAATAGCCAACTTTATTGAGAGCATGAGACGATTTATACTCTGAGCGTTAAGAGTCACCTGAGTAAAGTGACCATCACAAGACAAATGGCACTTGGCAAAAACATGTTTTTTTCATAGAGGTATATGAACAAGTAACAATAGCCAGCTGTAATGAATACTCTAAAGTGAACACACTCCTATCTGCTACCCCTAGGAGAAACATGAAAGCACATTCCAAGAACAATTTTGTGTTTTTGAAGAAACCAAGGTCACTAGACTCTTATTTTCTCACAAGCACTCAAAATTCCCCTTGTATACAACCTTTTTGTTTATTTTTTTGAGACAGGGTTTCTCTGTGCAACAGTCGTGGCTATGCACTTTCATTGTAGACCAGGCGGGCCTCAAACTCATTGACAACCTCCCAGGTGCTGGGATTAAAGGCATGCACCACCACTGCCCATCAGTATAACTCTATTCTTGGACTGTGTTCCAACATTGTGAATGGAAGGCTAACTGTTCTCCATTTCCTGCAGGTAGTCTACAAGCCATACTAAGAAAGACATTGTCGTTCCCCATGTCCTCTCTTATGGAGAACCTAAAATATGTTTGTGTTTGTGTATGTGTATGTCATAAACCCAGAAGGGGAAGAGACCAGATGAATAGATTTTTAAGGAAAAGGAGGGTAATGAGGGTCATGGTATAGCATGAGAGGGGCGTGGCTACTGGGGAGGAGAATGAAAGAGGACCAAGTGTAATGTCGTTAGTAAACCCATTACCTTTGCACACTAACCTAAAAATTAAAACCAAGGGCTGGAGGAATGGCTCAGAGGTTAAGAGCACTGGCTGCTCTTCCAGAAGTCCTGAGTTCAAATTCCAACAACCACATGATGACTCACAACCATCTGTAAAGAGATCTGGTGCCCTATTCTGACCTACAGGTGACATGCAGGCAGAACACTGTATACATAATAAATAAATAAATCTAAATAAATAAATAAAACCAAAGAGCTTGACTGGTGAACTCCTCCAGGCCAAGCAAATTATCCAGGAATTATAGCTTCAAGTCACTATAACTCCTAGACATTAAGGAACAATGCTGCTCAGGAGAGTGAGTATACAGTAATATGCCATGGTAACTATTATGGTTATAAGATGCACTCAAAGTCCTTTTCAAACACAAAACAACTAGCACTAGAAATGATTACACACACTGGTCTTTTATTTATTACTAGTAACATCTATTTAAAAAACAAAAAACAAAACTATAAAGCCAGTTGGTGGCACACACCTTTAATCCCCCAGCACTGGGCAGGCCGAGGCAGGTGGATCTCTATGAGTTTGAGGCTAACCTAGTCTACAAAGTGAGTTACAGGACAGCCAGGACTGTTACATGGAGAAACCCTCTATCAACAGTCAGAAAAACAAACAAACAAAAAAAAAAAAACTATAGAACGTATAGGGCAAATGCAAAGATGTTTCGTTTATAATGTGGCAGTTATAATGAACTAGATATATTAAACAAAAACACGAGGCACACAGAACTAGGGAGATGGCTCAGTGAGTAAGAGTGCTTGCTCTGAGAACATGAGGACCTGAGTTTGAAACCCAGCACCCAGGGAAAGAGCTGGGCCTGGCTCTACTGCCCTCACGCCGGCACTGGTGGGAAGACAAGCTGACCCTGATAGGTGCTTACGGTTCCGTGAGACCCTCTCAAGATCCTAAGGCAGGAAGTGGTTAGCATCTTACTCTGGCCTCTGCATACATGCACACACTCACGTACCACACACCACAAAAAGCAAAGTACAAACCAGCAAATTTCATGTTATCAGCGTGTATTTATTTAATGCTTGTTGTTTTCTAAAACAGGGCATCACTGTAGCTTAGACTGATCTAGAGCTCATTAACTAATCCAGGCCTTGATCTCATGTTTCGTCCTGCCTCAGCCTTCTCAGTGTTGGGATTACAACTGTGAGCTTCTGTTTTGCTACTGATGTTTTGAAAGGAGAGAAGCAATCTGCCTCTGATTCCTGAATGGCAACTGAATGCCAGCTACACCTGTGTGCTATTTAAGAAAATAAAAAAATGTCCATGTACAAAATAATGAAATGCTTTTTTATCTATTGTTCTGAAAACAATTATTAACATGTAAATCAGGATTTTATGTTTTAGCCTGGCTTCTCATTTCTTTCATAAAAATTAAGGTCATGGTACAAATATTAACTATTTTAAGTATGCTTTCTACATTGGGCACATGCCCTATCTAGTCCTTAGACTTCTCACACTATCTCAGCTGAATAGTACTAACTGTCCCAAGTATGTGTAGCCTAAGTCCAAAAGGAGAAAGCTGGGCCATCTCAGCCCACTAAATACCTTTTCTGGTTTCAGAAAAAAACAAATAAACCACCTCCTTCCTCATAAGTTTTGTATGACCCCATCTTTTACTTTCAAGACCTGAAACAAGTGCACTTGTAGTAATTTCAGCTTGGGTAGTGTTAAACTGCCCTCAAAAATTAGGGGTAGCATTCAGTATAAAATAACCCCAAACACACAGTTCCAAATAATCCCTGAGCACATTGTTCATCCAGCAAGAAGTCTCCAGAGAGGTAATAAATTAAAGGCACATTTTTCCCCCAACTTGATGACCACTGCATAGTATTAGAGACAGTACACCAGCCAGGTAATCAAAGTTCAAATCCATGACATGCCCCTTCAACAGTAAATTTTGTATGCTGGACAGAATGATCTAATGTGGATATAAACCAGCTTTCCTACTAAGAAGTAACAGCTGGGGTACAATGACTCTCCCACCTAAAAAGTGACTGACAATCTAAGAAGCCTCCTCCTCTTCCTTCTCCAAGAAATCAGCCAATGTTCTGCTGTCAACAGGAATTAATAAATATTCTACACCATCAGTTCCCTACAAGACAAAAGAAGATTCCACATATTAATCCTTAGTAAGGGAGCTTTAGACCTTTCTACTGCAGATTAAACAAATAAGCAAACTGGACTTTAAAATTATTATTGTTAATACTATTATTATTGTGGGGTTTGTTTGTTTGGTTTTGGTTTTTCGAGACAAAGTTTCTCTGTAGTTTTTGGAGGCTGTGCTAGAACTAGCTCTTGTAGACCAGGCTGGTATTGTGTTTTTGTTTTTGAGACAGGGTTTCTCTGTATAGCCCTGGCTGTCCTGGAACTCATTCTGTAGACCAGGCTCTTCTTGAACTCAGATATCCACCTGTCTCTGCCTCCTGAGTACTGGGATTAAAGGCATGAGCTACCACTGCCTGGCTTGGTTTTATCTATTATGCAACATTTTAAGTATCTAAATAAGCATTTAAATACCTAAGGAGAAAAATTAAGATAAAGGGAACATGACTGTGTGTCTAAACACTGAGATACAGCCAAACACGTTATAACAGCAGTTTAGTTTTCTTCACAGTACTTTCAGCTATGACTAACCCTCTGGCATTGTCATAAAGTTCATATAAACAAAAACAAAAATCCACACAAAATTTCCTGTTTTCAATACATTTATAGTTTTGGATGACATTCACTGGTTATCTGCAGGTTGTGGCTGGACGTGCCTTGCCCTTTCCAAATTGTACAGCAGTGATTTTCTGTTCTATTTCCCCCATCTCAACAAGTTTCCCCTTACTGACTTTTGTTGGGTTTGAGACAGGCTCATTATGTAGCCTTGCCTGGCCTGGAACTCACAGAGATCAATCTGCCTCTCCCTCCCTAATGCTGGGATCAAAGGTGTGTGCCATCACACCTAGCTTTCACTTGATTTTGAATACATTCAAGTAGCTCTCACCTAAAAATATCTCTTGGGGTTGGAAAAACGGCTCAGCAGTAAGAGCACTGACTGTTCTTCCGGAAGATCTGGTTGAAGTTTCAGCACCTACACGGCAGCCCCCAACTGTCTGTAACTCCAGTTCCAGGGGATCTAATACCCTCTTCTAGTTTCTACAGGTACCAGGCTAGCACACATGGTGCAGACACATACAAAACATGCACACGTAACAAAGTAATTACGAATAATTTACTAGATTCATTCCTCTTTAAGCACTCCCCTCCACCTTTCTAGAGTTGTCTGTCCATCTACAGCACCAGAACAAGTGCTCACCACTACATCATTCTTCTTCCACAACTCCAGATATTTTCAGTCTTCTGGTCTCTCAGAAGCATCCGACACTACAGTGTGGCATTCATTCTCTCGACCCTTGGTCTCTGTGATATCCTTCCTTGTCCCCCCCCTCCCTGTTTTACCTGCCCTTGTCCTCAGTAAATAATAAACACTAACTCCCATATCCAGTGCTAAAATAGCATTCTTACCTTCTTTGTTTTTATGAGTTTGTGATCCCTAAATTCAGTTAGCTGGGCTCGGAGTGTGAGATCACTATTAACAAGGAATGCCTCCCGACACTGCTGGTAAAAATCTTGAAAAGAAAGTCCTGGAGAGATGAAAAGATTAAAGTAATCAATATTTTGCTTGAAAAAGAAGAAGAAGTAGGAGGAGGAATAAGGAGAAGGGAGGAGGAGGAAGAAGGAAGGAGGAGGAAAAGGAGGAGAAGACAGGGTCTAGCTATGTAGCTCTGGCCAGCCTAGAAATCACAGAGATCTACTTGCCTCTGTTTCGTTTCCTCAGATGAAACATATGGACTACCATGTCTTTATCTTTCTATGTGTGTGTGTGAGCACAAGCAAGACAGAAGAGGCCGTTACATCCCTTGAAACTGGAGTTACAGGCAATTGTAAGCTGCCCAACAGAGTGTTGGAAACAAACCTTGGGTACTCTGCAAGGGCAACAAGTCAGGCTCTCAGCTGCTGAACCATCTTTCCGGCTTCATGATCTCCATACAGATATACCCATATACATAACTCTTCAGTACTGCACATTTTGGGTTACAGAGTTTAAAGTGGATCAATTAAGTAGTCACTTGTGACTAAATAGCATGTAACCGTGTAGGCAGTTTTAAGCAGCATAAATAAAACTGACTTTTAAATTTTTAAAAATTATTTATTTATTTTAATTTTATCAGAATTTGTGTTTTGCCTGCCTGCATGTATGTATGAGGGTATTGGGTCCCCTGAAACTGAGCTGCCATGTGGGTGCTGGAGATTGAACTTGGGTCCTTTCGAAGTGTATCCATTGCTCTTAACTACTGAGCCAACTCTCCAGCCCCCAATAAATTGACTTTTAAGAAAAGTATTAACTTAAAAACTGTGATCATTAAAATTTTTGCACACACTAATACACTTTTGCTAAGGAGATGACAAATAAGATGCCCCATGTATGAAAAATATGTAATTAGCAGATACACATCCATAGTTGCTGTAGTGCATGGGACTCTAAAGTAAGTGGGTCTGCCTCCCAATTCCCACAGCAATCTAATGAGCAGTACATCTGCAAAGTGCTGAGGTTGGCTACAGGTTTGGACAGACACGCCTACCATAGAGCAGTCATTTATTTCTGCTGTGAGAAATGCAAGGCTCCCAAGGGACTCTAGAACAATGAATAAGAAAGACATTAAATAACACATACCAATGTAGGAAGGGCTGTCCTGGTTATCCAGTTGGAACTTTATAAGTAGTCGGAAAATCCCCCTACAAAAACAAAACAAAAAACCAAATAGAGAAATACTCTGCAGTAGTAAATGCAAGTAAGAATGTCAAATACTTAGCTAGGCTTTGTTGCCTTTTGTTCCTTTCTCCACAGGGAAAAAAGTTTTCCTTATCTAGGAGCATGTATGTGCAAGTGGACACACACACACACACACACACACACACACACACACACACACACACACACACACACACACAGAGCTTTCTATAATAAACCTGAGAAGATTTACTGAGACAGGGTTGCTCAGGCACAGTCCCAGACCTGTGTCTTATGCTGGGTGTGTACCCTTTAATCTCAGAACTCAGAAAGCATAAGCAAGTAAATCTCTGGGTTTGTTCTAGGAAAGTCTGGTCTATACAGCAGGTTCCAGAGCAGCCAAAACTACATACACAGTGAGACCTTATATCAAAAGCAACAAAACAAAACAAAACAAAACCCTCCAGTTAACAGCAAGCACCATCTCATATCTACAAAAGAAAATACAACAAATGTTCCTCGTCTTCACTTCATTCACAACTTATCCATTTTTGTTCAGAAACAAGAAAGCTGGCTGCATCATTTATGTGCTTGCTGGATTCCCCTAGAACTGGGTTATACACAGCTATGAGTCAAGTACAAAATGCTTTACTACAACTCTAAGCTGTGTCCTTAGCCCCTTAAATTTGTTAAGGAAAAACTATTTTAGCTTTACTGGTCAATTTCACAGGCTAATATTGAATATTTGCCTATTGTGTAATCTAGTCCTGGTCACAGTTTTTATATCTTTCTTAATCCTTTACAGCAGCAAGTAAAGGATTTGTTTCTGTCCATTGTTAACTATCAAGTTGACACAGCCCAGCCAAGAGTTACCCGAGAAGGGCTTCCTAAAGGGGAAATTATCAGGTAACACTGGCGCAGAGGCATATCTGTGGGGCAACTGTCTGGATTATTAACTGATGTAGCAGGGCTAAGGCTAAGGTGGGTCCCACGGACCTTAGGCAGGTGGAACGGGCTGTAAGATACCTAAGCAGAGCCTGTGAGCAAGTCAGCAAGCAGCACTGCTCTGTGCTTTCTGCCTTGAGCTCCTGCTTGAGATCTTTACCTGACTTCCCTCAATGATCATCTGTAACTGGGAAGTGTAGGCCAAATAAGTCCTTTTCTCCCCCAAGTAGCTTTTGATTATGGTTTTTAGCACAACCAGAATCAAATGAAAGCAGTATCACTGGTGAACTCAGTAGTGCATCCTCAGAATTTGTTTTGTTTTTTGAAGAGCTAGGACTGACTTGAGGACCTCTGCATATAAGCCAAGTGCTCGCTCTACCACCAATTTTCACTGCTACTCCTCAAATCTATAGGGCATTTATTTTGTAGTGGTCCCAGGAGTCAAATTCAGGGGATTTAGCATGATGGCATGTGCTTGACCATCCAGCTACATCTCTAAACGTGTGTAAATGCGTGTGTACATGTATCTTTATACCTTTACATATAACTATTTTATTTAAAGTTCTCGTTCTTACCTTGCATTGGGGGTAAGGCTTCGTAAGACATGAATCAGAGAACTAAGTGGGAGAGACCCAGACTGTTTAACCAGAAGGGAATTCTCATAGGATGTTTCCTCAGTATACGGACTATATGTAGTAGTTTCATACCAAAGCCAATTGTAAAGACTCTGTTTTGCATGATCCCACACTGCAGAAGATGATCAAAGCAAAGAATTACAAATTATTGTCATATTACCATGTGCCATGAGACTTCATTGCAATGAAGAAATATTTAAAGGAAAAGTACCCAAAGGTTAAAAATGCATCTCACTGGTAGAGTGCTTGCTTAAAGAATACAAGGTTCTGGGTTTATACCTTAGTATTGCATTTTTAAAAAAAAATCATAAAATATTTAAGTTTTGTCATTTTTATATAAATCATTAAGTCACAATCTGCTTCCTCTGTCAATCACTATCATAATCTTTTTGTTGTTTTGAGACAAGGTCTCCTTAAGTAGCCCAGACTGGTCTCTAACCTCAGCTTCCCAAGTGCAAGTGTGGCAACCATGAGCCACCTTCCTTGGGTAACATCTGAATCTTTATTTGTACACTGAATACAAATGAAAATATCTCAACACCATCAATAAGGTTTTTTTTAAAACCTTAATAAGGCAGTTGGTGTAGTGGCATACATCTTTAATCCCATCACTTGGGAGGCAGAGGCAGGTGGATCCCTGTGAGTTTGAGGTTAGCCTGGTCTACATAGAGAATTTCAGGACACTCAGCTATGTAGTGAGATGCTGTCTCCAAAATTAAAAATAAACAAATAAATAAAACTTCATAAGGAGGCTAAAGAGATAGCTCAGCAGTTACGAATGCTTACTGCTCTTGCAGAAGAGCAGGGTTCAAGAACCCACAGGCCTGTTCATAATCACCTGTAATCTCAGTTCCAGGGATCTGGTGCCCATGGGCCTCTCCACCATGTGGTGCGGCACATAAGCTCACAGGCAAAATATACATGAATAAAACAAACAAGTCTTAAAATCTGAATAACTAACCTTCTGTTTGATCATTATCACAAAATCTTTGAATTTACAAAATAAACATTGCAAGCTGGGCAGTGGCAGGTGAGCTCAGTGAGTTTGAGGCCAGCCTGGTCTACAAAGCAAGTTCCAGGGCAACAGCCAGGGCTATAACACAGAGAAACCCTGTCTCAAAAAAAAAAAACCAAAAACAACAAAACAACCAAAACCAACACCAACCAACAACACTGTAATGTCACAAAGGGTAGGATGGAACCAGAATAACAGGTCTACTCTTCCTCGTGTAACTTCAGATATAAACATATTTCTTTAGTGTAGATATTTATTTCCAATAAACTGAGACCACCTTTTGACAAGCTGAAATTTACTGAAAACAGTAAGAAAGCTTTGTAAGACCACTCTCTCAAGGAAAGAGACTAACATGCAACTTACTGAGAGGGGCATGGAGGTGATCAACAGATGCTATAAGGTACACGTTATGCAAAGATGACAACTGTCCAAGAATCTGCTGGCTATTGTCTCCTCTCAACATTTGGCTATCCAAATTGTGGATAAGAAGGAACAGTTCTAAAGAAGAATCTAGAAGAAAAGGGAATTTAATGATTATTTTCAGAAAGTCCTTAGCACATACGATGCCTAGGCTATGTCAAAGGAAGGTGCTAAGCAACAACTCTATACATGAGCAACAAATCCCACACAAGCACAGACAAGACTTTATAAAAATTACTGAACAAAGCCGGGCAGTGGTGGCGCACACCTCTGAATCCAGCACTCAGGAGGCAGAGGCAGGAGGATCTCTGTGAGTTTGAGACCAGCCTGGTCTACAAGAGCGAATTCTAGGACAGCCTTCAAAGCCACAGAGAAACCCTGCCTCGAAAAACAAACAAACAAAAACAAAAAGTAAAAAAGAAACAAACTAAAAAATATCTGGAGCTGGGAAGATGGCTCAGTTGGTAAATTGCTTGCTGTACAAGCATGAGGACCTGAGTTCAATTCTCGGAACCCATTAAAAGAAAAGAAAAATATCTGTCGTTCCAGGGGTTGAGAAAGGTGTTATCCTTGGGGCTTGCTAGTCAGACAGCTTAGCCAAATCCTTAGCTCAAGGTTATAGAGAGACAGACGACCCCCCCCACACACACACACAGGCAGACGGATTAGGAAGGCATCCCATGCCAACCCCACCTCCATATGCACAAGGAAAGCCATGCATGCTCATTCTTGCTTCCACGTACACTCACACGCACGCGCACACACACAAACACACACATAATATCAAGCAACACAAAAATGTCAGACAAAGATGTAATAATCTGTTACAGGCACTTCACACTGACAAAACACAAAATAAAATTATTCTTAAATAAGAGACCATACAGAGTGAAGATAGTAGGAGTAACTCCTGTCAAGAGAAATTCATAGAACAAATCAGCATAACAGGAAAGACAGATCATTTGAAAGAAATCTAACGATGTTGACTAGAGTATCCACATTAAAATAATCATCTTTTTGTCTAAAATTCCATAAATACAGAGATGTAGAATATAACTTCACCCTAAATGCTACAGGTGATTTCCTTTATGTTACCTTCTTTAAATTTGTTTATTATCCAGTCTCGCTGATCCAGAACACTCTGGAAAGTACCCATATGATTGAGGACATCTTCAGTTATAGAATTCAGGATCTACATCACAGAAGTGCAAGAGGTACCATATCAACTGCAATTTATTCTGTCACATATGATAAATACAATTAGCAAATTAATTTTATTTCTTAAATTAAAAATTATTTTGAGTTTGTCATAAAGCTTGAAAAGTACTTAAAATGCAATATCTAACTATATCTAATTCTTCCTTTTTTTCTTCTTTTTAAATATATTAAGGCTAAAAGGAAAAAAATTAATGTAAGAGGGCAGGAAAAAAAATAACCAGTAAAAAATACTTCATCAAACTATGAATGTGAGCCAGATAGTGTTGCAACCTTTAATCGCAGTGTACTAGAAGCAGGGGCAGGCGGATGCCTGTAAACTGAAAGCTAGCCTGGTCTACACAGGGAGTGCCAGGTCAGCCCGGTCTATATACAGAGACCCTGTCTCAAAATAGACAAAGGGGGCCCAACTATGAGCATGTCTAAAAAAATGATACCAACACTAAGGATACTAAAAACGGGATACTACATTGGCTAATACACAATATCCATAACCTTGATATAATTCATGTTGAAGTAAAAATGGTCTATGATAAATGTACTGTAAAACCATTGATTGTTTCTATACCCAAATAACACAAGATTATAATAAAATTACAGATTCTATGCATATTCTTAGCTGTTCCACTAGTAACTTGGTGTAGTAAGTGAAGGCCACATTTCCTCAAGGTTTAGACAAGTCAGTTCTTTGTGAGTGTGCTGGCTAGTTTTATGCCAACTTGACACACTCTAAAGTCGCCTGAGAACAGTGAGCCTCAATTAAGAAAATGCCTCCTTAAGATCCATCTGTGTGAAAGCCTGGAGGGCATTTTCTTAATTACTGATCGATGAGGGAGGGCCTAGCCTATGGTGGGTGGTGCCATCCCTGGGCTGGTGGTCCTAGTTTCTATAAGAAAGCAGGCTGAGCAAGCCATGAGGAGCAAGCCAGTGAGCAGAACCCCTCTATGGCCTCTGCGTCAGCTCCTATTTGAGTTCCTGCCCCAACTTCCTTTAATGATAGTCTATGATGTAGAAGTGTAATCCAAACAAACCCTCTCCTCCAACTTGGTTTTGGTCATAGTGTTTCATTACAGCAACAACAACCCTAACTAGGGAGTGATTATGTGTAGATGCTTGTATGAGTGAACATTTCTGTGTGGGTGCACACTGATTCTTATTTATTAAGTATTCTTAAAAGGATCTTTTTCCATTACTTTATGTCTTAAGAGTGATTGCCTGGGCTGGAGAAAGAGTGGGCTCAGTGGGTAAGAGCACACTAACTGCTCTTCCAGAAGACCTGAGTTCGATTCTCAGCACCCACATGGCAGCTCACAACTGTCTGTAACTCCAGATTCAGGGAACTGACACCCTCAAACAGACACACATGCAGGGAAAATGCCAACACACATGAAACAAAAATAAATTATTTTAAAAAAGCGCTTGCCTACATGTATATATGTGTATCCTGTACATGCAGTGCCCTAGGAGGCCAGAAGGTGGCACCAGATCCCCGGAACTGGAGTTTCAGACAGTTGAGATCTGCCATGTAGAGTCTAGAAGTAGAACCAGGGTTCTGTGCAAGAACAGCAAACATTCTCAACAAATAAGCCAACTCTACAGCCCTATTAATTTATTTTGAGACAGGGTCTCTCATCAGCATGAAAATCATCTAGTAGATTAGGCTGGTTGGCCAGTTAGCTCTAGTGATCAGGGACCCCTCTCTTTGTCTCCCCATCAATGGGATTACAAGCACAGGCCACCACCACATCTAGCTCTTAAAAAAAAAAGGTTCAGGGGATGGAACTCAGATCTTCTTTACAGCCCCATGTCAGTTTCACAGAAACAAATTCAATGACAAAGATGCAAAGCCAGACTGCTCTGGATTCAAACATGATCTATGCAGCCTAACTGTATGAAGCCCAAAATAAAATCCTTTATAGTCAGAGTTCAGAGCAAAATTCCATCCTCAGTACTGGGGGGGGGGGGGGGGGCACCGCACCGTGACATAAGGACATCATATCATTCCATTTAACAGTTTTGAAACTTACTGATTTCACACTGATTCCAGGAAAGAAGCCGTTGATGACAACATGAACGGAACCCTGAAGCATGGTGGCTCGAAATTTTTCTAGTAAATCTCTCTTGGACCCCAAACCATAGAGCACAATGTTGAACCCAAGGCTGTAAGGTAAGAAAATATCCATAAAATTAAAGCTTAAGACTTCTGACTGCCAGCTTCATTATCAATCAGACTAAGCTTATACAGATTGCACAAAGAAAAGCATAAAAGAATAAAGCATAAAAATAAAAGCTCGATGTTCTTTTTGATACTTGGTATATACCTATAATCCCAACCCTAGGGAGACAGAGTTAGGAAAATTGCCATTATCTTGGAGCCAGCATGGCTTACAAAGCAAGTTCCAGGCTAACCAGGGCTACACAGTGAGACTCTGATTGGAAAATATAAAAACAAATGAGTAACAGTAAAAGTACAAAGAGTACAGAAAGAACTGAGACATCTACACAGTTAAATTGTTGTTCCCTACAACATAGCCAAAGCACCACTCATTGCCTACGAGAGCCCACACTTCCACCTTGTTTGGCAGCTTTCTTTGCAGGCCTGAAGGTAAGGGTGACTATGGCCAATGCTGTAGCATTTAAAACAGGCTAAGGGAAAGTTGAAATTAACAGATTAAGCTGGAACAGTGAATCATACTTAATGTTACTTCAACTTTATTACAATAATGAACATCTGGAAGTAACATTGTTAGCTGGAAGGTTTTCCAGGAAAGTAGCATTTCATTCTAGAAAGACTATAATATTTGGAGAAATAAAGAAGAGGAACAAAAATGCCGTTAAAAAAAAAAAAAAAAAAACTGTAAGCTTGTCAAAATAACAGAACTTGGAGGCTGATGAATGCAGTTTCTGTTCTAGGTAACACATGGAATGATTGACATGGCCATGCAGGGAAGAAGGGAGTGGGGAGCCTGGTTTCAGATGAGGTTATAAATGTTTAATTATTTACAGGGCCGCCAGGTGGGATGCTCAACACACACTCTAATAGTTATGTCTACTGCTGCTGCTGCACAATGTCAAGGTTGAACATTATAGTGCTGAGAGTCATTCACATAAAAAGAACAGCAGAAGCAGAGTGCGAGAAAGAATGGAACCAAATCCAAATCCATAATTATCTACAGAAGCCCATCAAACCAAACAACATTTATTCGAGGCCCCTCAACATGCTTGACAGTCAGGACAGAACAGGAAAGACGCTCCCTGGGAGATACCTGCAAGGTCAAAGTAATAGGAACAGCCAAGGAAATTCACAGAGCTAGTTATGCCACTCAATTAGGGACTGCACAGGTCTAGACTGGGAAGCAAAGCCAAGCTGGAGCTGACATACTGGAAAAGGGGAGAAATGGTAGGCTGAGGGTTAAGAGCAAAGAGATGCTATACAAATATACATACATACACACATACATACATACATACATACATACATACATATATGTATGTACATATACATATATACATATAGCTATACAAATATAGCTACTGAGAAAAACCGAGGTCGTTCTTTACAGGAAAAGAATAATAACCCGGCATAGATGGGAGGTAATAGTGATAATTTCTGTTCTCACAGATGTACCTGCCGCCATGGTGTCTGATTGCTTTTTGTCCTGGTTCCCCCCACCCCCATGACGTTTTCTCCATGTCCTCCTCTCTCCCTCCCAATGAATCGAACACAATGCCTCACGAATACTAGGCACACACTCGCCCACTAAACACAACCCAGTCTTTGCTGTTGTTTCCAGTCTGAAACGGGGCCTTGTTAAGTTGCTCCGAACTAACTTCACATCTTCCTCAGTGACTTTGCTATTTGGTTTGTTTGTTTGTTTTTGTTTTTCAAGACAGGGTTTCTCTGTAGCTTTGGAGCCTGTCCTGGAGCTTTGTAGACCAGGATGGCATCAAACTCACAGAGATCCATCTGCCTCTGCCTCCCAAGTGCTGGGATTAAAAGTGTGCACTAGCACCTGGCAACTTTGCTATTTGTTAGTGTGTAGGTATATTTTCATGAGTATACAGTTTAAAAATGAACACCTGTTTGTTTTTGAATTTATGAATAGGCTCATGTGGCCCAAACTGGCCTTGAATTGATTTACTGTGGTAGTAAAGGGTGACCTTAAAATCTATCTAGGTCCTCCCACCTCCCACATCAAGTGCAGATTACAGGTGTGTGCGACCACACCCGCTTACAAGTTCTAAAAGTTATTAAGGTTTGATTACATTACTCTCCTAGACATTTTTTTCCCTTTTTCTTTTTTGTTTTTCAAGACAGGGTTTCTGTATAGACCAGGCTGGCCTCAATATCAGAGATCTGTCTGACTCTGCCTCCTGAGTACTGGGATTAAAAGCATTTGCTACCACCACCCTGAGTCTTCTAGACATTTTAATGGAAAGTAAAATTATAACAAGCATATGAAAAATAAAATTAAAGTATTTTAAGAAATAATTTTAAAAGGTAAATGGTCACTAACAAATCTCACCATACTCTAAAAGTCCATGTACACAGAATTACATTAAAATAAAACATATTCTATTTCTGTTGAAACAGGGTTTTATGTTGCAGTGGTTTGAGTAAGAACAATCCCCATGGGCTCACATATTTGCATGCTTGGTAACAGAGAGAGGCACTATTTGAAAGGGTAGAAGTGTGGCCTTGTTGGAGGACTTGCACTGAATATAGACTTTGAATTTCCAACAGCCTGAGCCACATCCAATGTCTTTCTATTCTATTCCTGATGTCTACAGACCCAGGTTAGAACTCTTAGCTTCTCCAGCACGCTGTCAGCCTGCATGCCACCATGCCCCTCCCACCCCCATGATGGTAATGGATTAAACCTCTGAAGCTATAAGCATTCCTAATTAAATGTTTTCCTTTATAAGAGTGCCTTAGTCATGGTGTCTCTTCATCACAACAGAAGACTGAGACACACATAACCTAGGCTGGCTTTGAACTTGTTAAGTAGCCAGAGATGACCTTCAATTTGTGGTCCTTCTGCTTCCAGCTTTCAAGTACTGGAATTAAATCTACAATCTAATTGACAAGTGTATTGGTCTTTTTATTATTTTATTTCATATGCACTGGTGTTTTGTCTACGTGTGTGTGTGTGTGTGTGTGTGTGTGTGTGTGTGTGTGTGGCGGGGGTGTCAGGTCCCCTGGAACAGAAGTTGCAGACAGTTGTGAGCTGCCATGTGGGTGCTAGGACTTGAACCTGGGTCCTCTGGAAGAGCAGCCAATGCTCCTAACCACTGAGCCATCTTTCCAGCCCCACACTTATTAATCTTGACAATATTTCTTTTTCTGTTTTCTTTTTTCCAGACAGGGTTTCCTGTAGACCAGGCTGGCCTTAAAGAGATTCGCCTGTCTATGCCTCCTGAGTGCTTGGATCAAAGTTGTGTACCACCATGTCTGGCTCACAAGTTTTTAAAAACGCTACAGATTTTCACAGGCCTGAGTCATCTTACAGATGACAGAGGTTCTGTTCCCAGCCCTCACATGGTGGCTCACAACTCCAGTTCCAGGGGAGCTGACACCCTCTTCTGACGTCTGTGGACAGCAGGCATACATGTGCAGCACATATACACATGCAGGCAAAACACACACAAACATAAAATAAATGTAAAAAAAATTTTAACTATATAATTTGAGAAGAGTCATATAATAAAATAATATTTATATATTTGAGTTATAAAATTGGAGAAAGGCCATATGTTTTGTTGTGCTCTTTGGATGTGGTCTTATATAGCCTAGGCTGGTCTAGAATTTGCTTATGTAGTTTCAGGCTGGCTTCAAATTCATGACACCCCTGACTCAGTGCCACCTCATCCAGATTCTCCAGGTTACAGGGATGTGCCAAGGCACTTGACCTTGCGTGTGTGTGTGTGTGTATGCCCTAGCTGGTTAGTTTCTGTCAACTCGATACAAACCTAGACATACTCAGAAACAGGGAATCTCAACTGAGGAACTGCCTTTATCAGACTCGTCTGTGGGCTTATTTTATGGGGGTATTCTGTCTTCCTTTACATGCGTGCCTGGCACCTGCAGAGGCCGGAAGGCACTGTGTACCTGGAACTGAAGTGACAGAAAATCATGAGCTGCCCTGTAGGTGGGAACCAAACCCAAGCCCTCTGGAAGACTAGCCAGTGTTCTTAACCTGAGCTTCTTTCTCCCCATTCCTGCTGCTGAACTTTTAAAATGTTGAAATTTTTTGAAGACTGATAAAGGGTGGACTGTGCTGGTTAGTCAGTTTGACATAAACCTTGACAACAAGGAAGAAGGAATCTCAACTAAGGAACTGACTGGGTCAGACTGCCCTGCAGGCATGTCTCTGGGGACATTTCTTAATTCCTGAAGGTGAAGTAGGGTCTAGCTCAATGAGGGTGGCGCTACCATGGGCAGGAGAGCCTACTATATAAGAAAGACAGCTGAGCAAGCCAAGGGATGCAAGCCAGTAAGCTTTGTGGTTTTGCTTCAAGTTTCTGCCTGAGTTCCTGCCTTCACTTCCCAAAATGAGACGATAACCTACAAGATAAACTCTTTACTCCCCAAGTTGCTATTGGTCATGGTGTTTGATCACAGCAATAGAAAAGCAAACCACCACAATAACATACGTGTGTGTGTGCGCACATATCAAACTCACTATAGAAATAAAATCAGAGGGATGGCCACTTGTATCAGTGAGTAAAAGCACCACACATGCCTGATAACCTAAGTTGCATCCTTAGGACCTACTCCTACAAGTTGTCCTCTGACCTCCCATGTGCACTGTGGGAAGCAGAGGCAGGAGGATGGATCCCTGTGAGTCCGAGGCCAACCTGGTTTACAGAGAGGATTCCAGGACAGGCAGGGCAAAGCGGTGAAAGCTTGTTTGAAAAAACAAAACAAACAAAAAAAATGAAATGTAATGAAATACACTTTTGGGGGTAGTACTGGAAATTAAATATAAAGCCTCATATATGTACAGTATACAATTGCTCTACCACTGAGCTACATCCCCAACCTGAAAGTCAAATACAGCAAATACGTTTTTCAGTTTGTTTTTTGAGACAGAGTAAACTCTATGTATTACTGGCTGTCCTGGACATCAAGATGGCCTAGAATTCACACACCTGCTTTTGTCTGCCTCCCAGTGCTGGGATTAAAGGTACCTACCACCACACCAGAATGCAAATGATGTTTTAACATAGACATATACATATTACTCTTCATTGTACAAGGATGTACAATGATAATACTTACTGTAGCTGTAGCATCCATTTACGAAACAATTTCTCATGCTGTTGATTTAACTGTTCAATTTCAGCAGAAAAGGAAGGTGAGAATTTGCTCAATAAGTTACGTAGCATTTTCTTTAAAAAAGAGAGAGGAAGGTATTAGAGATAGTGACTTAAATCAATTATGGAAATAAGTAAACCAACTGAATACAAGACATTCCTCAAATATAACTTAAATATTTGTTTATTAAAAGCTGTTTTATTTGTATGAGTGTTTTGTACATAAATGGGGCCTGTGGAGCTCAGGAGAGGGCATGAAATCCCCTGGAACTGGAGTTATAAATGTTTGTGAGCTACCACATGGATGCTCTGGGTCCTCTGCAGAAGGAAGTGCTCTCAATGACTGAACCATGTTTCCAGCCCCTCTTAAAGTTCTCTTTTATTTAAAGTGTATAGTAACAATATGAAATTTTGCTAAGTTTGCCTAGAACCATTTAAATGATTACAACAAACTCCAAATATATGGCTTTAATTTCTAAAAAATATAGTTACTGTAAGAGCTTTCCGGTTTTCACAACAAATTCAGATAGACAAAAACCAGTTTAATGATAACAGAAAGCCAATAACACATCTCAGGAGTAGAGCTCTTGTCTAGCAAGTATGAGGCCCTGAGCTGAACTCTCAGCACAATAGTAACAACACAAAGAAATATCAAACCTGCAGATCTGAACAATTGTAAAAACTGAGGTAGCAATTTAATAATTTTTGGAAAACATTCAAGTTTCTTTATAATTCACCATCAGAATGAGGCACAAGTATCATTGACAGCTTTTGTTGGGGACCATCACCATCCTCACTACCTCAGGCCTCTGAGATAGAAAATTACTGCCTCTTAAAAAGTAGGCAGAATGTTCAGCAGAGCATTGCTAGATACAACCTTGTGGTTTTACAACCAGTTAAAGAATAGCTTAGGATAGTCTTCCTGTTGTAGCTTTACAACCAGTTAAAGAATAGCTCAGGATATTCTTCCTGTTGCAGCTTTACAGACAGTTAAAGAATAGCTCAGGATATTCCTCCTGCTACAGTTTTACAGCCAGTTAAAGATTAGTTCAGGGCATTCCTGCTACTGACCCTTTCATCCTGCCCACTTGCAAAGCCCCGCTCACACTGTGCCCATGGTCCTATATAAGCCTCCCCTGAGAAAACAAAATTTGGCAACTTGATCAGAATACTGCTACTCTTTTTATATCCCTTGTCCTTCGATCCCCCTAGGTGTTTCCCCGGTTTGTCGTTGACTGCCCCGAGGGTCTGTGCAAGCTCTTTTTTTCTTTTACTTTACAGGGTTTCTCTGTATAACATTCCTGACTGTCCTGGAATTCACTCCATAGACCCAGCTGACCTTGAACTCACAGAAATCCACCTGCCTCTGCTTCCTGAGTGCTGGGATGAAAGGTGTGCTCCATCTTTGCCCAGCAAGATTGCCAGTTTTAACCATAGGAAGTAAGAGGTTATCTGTTTTCCAACTTCTTAAGTCTGTCATCATCAGCTACCTGAGTGGTCCAACCATGAGCATGACAGACACGGCACATCTCCTAGATCTGCTAACCTTCAACTAACCCACAGACACGAGAAATAAATACCTACGCTATGCCTGTAACGCTCTTCTTTCATTATCAACACAGGCATGTCTTGCATTCTTGTAGGGATTATTTGCTCAAAAGTCTTTTTTTACTCATGTTGCTTAAATAAACATAGACGGCAAATATTAGTGTTGTTTCTTTCTAGGAAAGTTTTCTCCTATTCGTTTATTTATCACATGCATGTGTTCCGGTGTGTGTATGAGTGGTGGGACATGTGGAGTCCAGAAGTGGCATCTCCCTCAATCACTCTCAACCTTTGTATGTTTATGTGCCACCCGTGCTCACGGTGCCCAAAGAGGTCAGACTAGGACATCAGCTCCCCTTGATCTAGAAATACAGTAGTTGTGAGGCAATTAATACGGGTACTGTAAACTGAAACAGGGTGTTCTGTAAGACTAGTGTTCCTGACCATTGAGCCATCTCTCAGTTCCTTGTCCTTATTTTCTGATAGAGATTCTTTTATTTTTTCTAATTTTACTTTATTATTTTAAATGTGTATATGATGGGTATATATGAATGCAGATACATGGGCCCATGGCACACTGTAGAAAGACAGTAACAGTCTCTTGTGGGTTACAATTATTAACTGCACCGTCCTTGTTAGACTTTTGTTTTTTCATTACTTGTGTGTGTGGGGTGGAGGGATATCCAGTAAGCTGTCCATGGAGACAAGAAGAGAGGCCTGAGTCTCCTGGAGCTAGAATTATAGGTAGTTGTGAGTCGAAATGGGTGCTCAGAACTAAACTTTGGTCCTCCATAAGAACATACATACTGTGAACGCCTGAGCCATCTTTCCAGCCCTTAAGCCCGGACAGACTTTATAACTCAGTGGCTATGTCCTATGCTAACAAGGACACATGTGTTGGACTGCTTGTAACAGGAGCTAATGGGAAGACCTGACTGCACTCTGCAACTTTCCACAACAGCAAGGAAGGCCCCGCCTCACTTGTGCAGAGGTGGTGTCAGGGAGCAGTCAGGCTGCAGATGTCACACAATGTAAGGGTCAATGAAGAACATGTGAGTGAGTGAGGGAAGAGCGCAGCAGGCCCACACGGCTACCAAAAAGCTATGACCTCAACAGTTACTTTAAATTCTGAGAAAAAAGGAAAGGAAAAAAGTAAAATTACGTCAATAAGAATTCTCATCAGTGAATTATTTACAACCTGTGCAACTAGTGTTTAATGACCACAACACATTAACTTGTGTTTTATTTTGTGAGGGAAATTATCCTGTTCCTGTTCACGTCTCCCAACGCACGGCTAGTATATTTGAAGTCAGAGTATACCTGATCCATTTTGGCTCTCTTTAGCTTCTGCAGGGTTCTATCAGATGTCAAAACTTTGGAACTGCTATGGGCTTCAAAATATTCTTCTACCAAGTCACTCTGAAACAGACATAGTAACATCAGGCCTAAGTAACTTTAGATATTTATATTGTATAAAACCTAGATAGGAATTAGTTTAAATCCTCATGCCACAGCTTTGAAAACAGCTGGGAAATAACAGTGTTATCAACATACCTAACTAAAATACCTTATCTGACAATTTTTTTTTTTTTTTTTTTGTTTTTCAAGACAGGGTTTCTCTGTAGCTTTGGAACCTGTCTGTAGATTAGGCTGGCCTTGAACTCAGAGATCAATTGCTTCTACCTCCTGAGCACTGGGATTAAAGATGGGCCCTACCACTGCCCAACTTTGACAAAAAAACAAACAAACAAACAAACAAAAAAAAAAAACAAAACCCAAATAAATGAACAAAACCTGTATACAGGTGAAAGATATTTAATACTACCAATAAATTCCTAAAAATATGGATTGAAAGTAATTGGCAGGATATGGTGGCTTATATATATATTTTTTAATCCCAGCACTTGGGAGGCAAAGGTAGGAGGCTTTCTGAGTTTAAAGCCAGCCCAATCAACATACAGGACAGGCAGAGCTGTGTAATATAGAGACCCTATGTACTGAATGTACATGAATAAACACCCAGAAATGAAAAGAAAGTTCAAAGACACAAACAAGTATATATGGGAATTCATGTGTAAAACTAAGAACAAACAAACAAAAAAGAACAATTCTGTCCCAACAAAATTATCTCTAAATTATAATATATAACTTTACTTTTGTTAAAAAGATTATAATTTATCAGGGCGTTTGCTTCTCCTCAGATAATCTTAGTTATTCCTTAACTATTCAGTGCTGATAAAGTATCATGAAGAAAAAAAAAAAAAAAAAAGGAACCAATATCAAGTTTAAAAATAAAAGACTTGTCACCTGTTTCAGTAAAATGGATCACTACTTATTTTTCTGATTTGAGGCAGGATTAACCTCTGGGTTGACAAAGAAGTGGACAATTACTGAAACAGTATAGTTCCTACTTCCCTGAATCCTCACAGACAACAGTGAGACAATGAGCCCTTGTAAAAGCAGCATGATGTCCAAAGAGGTGGAGCCTGGATTTGGAGACTGAGGCTGGAAGACTGCTTTGCATTCAAGGCTAGCCTGTGCTCACAACACTCTTGCAAATAGTTCAGCATGGACCAACAGTCAGATACCCATCACCAAGCATCACTGCTACAAAAACAAAACTATATGAAAAGGAAATACTGAGAAGTTTCTCACAAGAGTCTAATCAATTATATTACAATAGCTCTCACACAACTGAACTGGAATGTTACTTTTAATGCTTATTACAGCATGAATAACAAGTATGTGTGGGAATTCTAAACAGGGCTGATCTCTGTTGTAGATCTGTCCGCTTTAGGCAGCCTACCAGGAAGGCATCACACACAGTTCTCCTTAAGGCCCAAGTCCCCCTTCACTCACTGCTTTGTCTCTTTTCATTTTCTTAAGTGGTGTCCCTTTGGAAACAGGAGCCGGAAGTACTCTACTCTGAGCTCGACTCTTTTGAGAGAGCACAACCACATCAGCGTCTTCATCATCTCTTGCAGCCTCTTCATCATCCTCCGAGTTGGAAGCAGAATACTCACTTTCGCTGTCACAATGAGACACTGGCACTTGTACAATAAAGAGAATCAGGAAAATTTGATGGTTTGAAAGAAAAGTTATTTGAGGAGAATCAAGAATGTGGGCTTTGAAGAGATGCTTTTCTTAGTTTATTTTTATTTTGTGTGCACTGGTGCTGTGCCATGGGGGTTTCAGTTCCCTAGAACTAGAGTTACAGATAGTTGTGAGCTGTCATGTGGTTACTGGGAATTGAACCTGGATCTTTTGGAAGAGCAGTCAGTGCTCTTAACCACTGAGTCATCTCTCTAGCCCTCAAAATTAGAGGTTTTTAATTACTTTTGTCATTACTTGTTCATGTTTTCACAGCTAGTTTAAGTACTAGTAACTTGCTGGAAAATTCCATTGGAATGAATCATCTGTGTGTATGTAACGAATACTCCTGTGTGTATGTGTGGGGGTGGCATGTATTCGTGTAGGTGCCCATCTATGCATGTATACATGGAGGCCTGCAGTTGATTTAAATGTCTTGATCACTCCCCTCCTTATATACTAGTGCAGGGTCTCTTGCCAGCTTACTCAGGGAATTCTGTCTTAGCCACTCTTGCAAGCTGGGATAATAGACGAGTTCCACCTATTTCCTTATGGGCTCTGGGGATTAGAACTCGTATTTTCATGCTTATAAAGCAAGAGCTATGTCTCCAGCACCTGAAATGTATCTAAAACAACTAATAATGTCAGTTATACTTAATATTATTCTTTGCCATTTTCTCTGAAATAGCACAACTCCATTTTTCGGACAGGGTGGTGATGTGCCCCACTATAGAGTAAAATATTGTAATAATCATCTTTTCCCTCTGCCAAAAACTTGCTTTACTTCCTACCCTTGCAAATAGATTAACTATATAACACTTTGACCACCAGACTGAAGGAATTTACTGAAAGCTTCCGAGAAGGAGTTTGTTTCCATAGGGAAGACATATCCCACTTATGTCAGAGAATATGACTATGAAAAGTCAACTTTTGTTTTGTTTTTTGGTTTTATGTTTTTTTGAGACAGGGTTTCTCTGTGGCTTTGGAATCTGTCCTGGAACTAGTTCTTGTAGACCAGGCTGACCTGGAACTCACAGAGATCCACCTGCCTCTGCCTCCCTAGTGCTGGGATCAAAGATGTGGGCCACCACCACCCAGCTACAACAGCCTATTGTTACAACTCCTTACAACTCCTCACATCTCTGACCTCAGCAGGAACTTTTATTCATGTACATATATCTCCCAGACACATAATTAAAATAATAAAAGTAAATCTGTAAAAAAAAAAATCATGTTTAACTCCCAAATATTGGTATTTAACCAAATCAGGTGTTCACTGTGAAAGACAGAAGTGTTCCCGAAGATGTGTTGGGATACAACACATATGCCTATTAAAGAGGGAACAAAAAGAAAACATGTCACTTTGTAGGTATAGATACAGTCTTACAGTCTGGGAACTTGAGTATGCTTTCTCTTATGAAAAGTGCTAGAAATGACAGTGGGAACTGTTATGCAAAAGGTGGCCACTGACCCTGATTACACTTGGGTCAAAGTGAAATACTACCTGAGTGTGTTTAATGTCCCTTATTTCAATTAGTTCTCAAAATGATTCTAAGGCTGGTACCAACATTACACCTAGCATATAAATGGAGTTGAGGACAAAGTTAAGAACCAGTTAAGTGGCCATCCAAACATCCAAAGACTGATAAACCAAGCAGTTGATATATAGAACCTGTATACTATATCACTATTGACTGATTTAGTTGTTTAAAAAAAAAAAACTTCATGTTGTTAGGCATGCCTGTCATCTCAACATCTGGATGTTAGAGGTATGATGATGATGAGTCTATATAGAGAATGTGAAGCTAGCCGGGGCCACATTAGAACTGGTCTCAAAAAACAAGGCAAAGAAACAACAAAACTTCACCTAAAAAGAAATACATACCTATTATTCTTTTTCTTAGACTACGAGGTGGCGCTGACAGACATTCAGCTTTGTTATTGTTCTGTTCAAAATTTAAAAAGCACAGTAAGTAATGAATAATCAATAATATTATAATGAATAATAAATCCCAGAAGTAAAAAACAAAAGCAAAACTAAAACAGAAAAATATGTTGTTCTCAAATTACAACATTAGAACTAGATGAGTGATTCCTAGCACCAGGACAGTAACAAATTAATTTGCTGATATAAAAAAAGAAATATGTAAGTTCTAGGACAGGACAAGCCACCATAGGCAGGAAGCCAAGGGGACTGGAGACTGGACAGGCTGCTTCTGCAGGGTCTTAATGCCTACTCAAAAACAAAACAAAACACAAGAACCAAAACCCAAAATAACATAAGAAAGAAAGGAAGGAAATTGGCAGACTTCCCAGACACAAAATTCACTATTAGTTTTTTCAATAGATGGTAGGTTACCGCCGGCAGATAAAATTCATCCAGACAAAATACAAAAACAATTCATCAAGGTCATAGGGGATGGGAAGACATCAACAATGGTGGTCTTCAAAGGGCCTCATCCTCCACCACGGTCACATGAAGAAAGACCATCATGTCGGCATTTGAGGCTAGTCTCTTGTAGACCAGGCTGGTGTCGAACTCACAAAGATCCGCCTGCCCCTGGCTCCCCAGTGCTGGAATTAGGGGTGTGTGCCACCACCACCCAGCTAGTCTCATGATCTTTTTTGCCCTCACAGTCAACTATAAGGGGGAGGGGAAAAAGGGAAAGATAAAGGAAAAAAAACAAAGACTTCTAACAATCCCTTTTTGTTTTCCTAACATCTCTTTTTGGTCTGACAGTTGGACAACTAACCTTGAAAAGAAAAGTCTGGTACTTCCCCACACTTGAGTTTGGCCTAAGTTTAAAATAAAAGATAAAAAGTAACCTCATCTCCTTAACTCAAAAGAACAGGGCTCTTCCTCTTTGTCTCCTCCTGAGAGCTGCCAAGATTTTCAACTTGTCTGTCTTTTCCTTTCTTAAAAGATGTATTATTTATTTAATGTGTGTGTGTAAAAATATTTGTGCACGTGGAGATCAGAGAGCGCCTTGGAGGATCAACTCTCTTCTACCATATGGATCCCAGGGACAGAACTCAGGTCATAAGATATATTTTTTTATTTTGTGTATTGATGTCTGTATACCACATATGTGTCTAGTGCACCAGATACCCTCTTAATGGGGTTATATATGGTGAAACTGCCATGTGGATGCTGGGAATTGAACCTAGACCCTCTCTGGAAAAGCAGTCAGGGGTCCTGAATGCTGATCCAAACCTCCTGTTGTTTTCCTCACAAATTCTAATAAAACAGTCCTTGAGCTTTCCTCTGAATTCATTCCTAAATTCTTTTTTATTTATTTAAATTTTTTTCTAGATTTATCTTGTGTGTATTCAGTGTTTTGCTTACATGTATGTATATGCATCATGCATATGCACCATGTATGTGCCTGGTGACAGCAGAAGTTAAAAAAGTGTGAGAAAAAAAAAAAATAAGAATGTCAGATCCCCTGGAACTGGAATTATTTGGGTACTGGAAACCAAAAAGCAACAAGTGTTCTTAATTGCTGAGTCAAATTACCAGTGCCTCAAATTCTTTCATTAACAAAGCTAAGAACCAAGAAGGAATGTTCCAGTTTCCCTAGTAACATGGCACCCACCATAGGACACTCCAAAGTTCCTGGTAGTATCCCTTCTACTTTATTTATAAAATATATGTATGTATTTATTTTATGTGTATGTGTGCCTGGGTACATGCATGGGCACCACACATGTGCAGGAGACTGAAGAAGTCAGAAGATGTCACTAGACAGATCCTCAGAAACTGGAATTACGAGCAATTGTTACCCATCCACTCTGTGGGTGCTAGGAACTGAACTTGGCTCTTTAGTAAGAGCAGATAAGTGCTTTTCATCCCTATTTAATCTTTTTAAAGTGCAGGTACATCCTACTAAAGTTATTATAAGATTAAGAATTGAAATAATTGACATCTATATAGATAAATTATCAAGTATGAGAACTTGTAACATCCATATCAAAATAACTTTCGAAAAATTCTAACTCACCCCTCAAAATACTACTAGTATTCCCTGTTGGTTATAGAAAGTTTGCTGGTTTCCTTCATGAAGACAAGAGATTACTCCATTGCCCTCAGATAACAGAAATTTAATAAAAGCCTAACCAGAGGAATTTCATCCTATTAAAAAATGAAAACTGCCCACTGAGCACATATTTTAGAAACTTCCTCTATTTTGTAAAACAGAATTCTCAACTATAGGACATATCCACAGGGATACAAACAAGTGAGATAAGAGTCTATATTCCTTCCTGCTTCAGGTGGGTCATTTACGTGTTTCGATCCCAAGCAAAACACCAGCTACGATTTAAAGCAAGGCATGATAATAATTTTCTTCCAGACTGCATAGGACTTTATGCAAGAGCCTGGTGAGCAAAGGCGCATGCCTTTAATCCCAGTACTTGGGAGGCAGAGGCAGGCAGATCTCTGTGAGTTGGAGGTCAGCCAGGTACAAAGTGAGTTCAAGGACAGCCAGGACTGTTACACAGAGAGACCCTGTCTTGAGGGATTAAAATGAAATGCTAAACTCCAAAAATTAGGAGAAGACAGTGTCCCTCTGCTGCCTTGGAGAGCGCCTGTTCCTCTAACAATGGGCCCTTACGCCCCCGGACCTCCAGAGTTAGCAGCACAATGCCCTCCATGCTAGTTTCAAGCTGGAGCTCCGGCCCTCTCATTGTTGCTTGGTCCAAAGCTGTCATCACTCTCACAGCTTGTTTATCTTATCAAACAAGTTTCCCTGTTAAAATGTGTATCAAGGGCATCTCCCTCAGTGTGTGCACCAGTTATAGAACACCACATGCCCAACCAATAGGTTCTTCATCTTGAAGCACCTGTAAGAACCACTTGAGTTCAAATTCCTAATTCTATATACACTGGCTCCTGAACGCTCTCCTCTAAGGCAGCAAGCTAAGCTCCGACAGTGGCATTCTATCTTCCTTCAATAAGCAACTTGGACCAACAGCTTTTGATGACTTCTGGAGAGCTGATAAGACCTAATCAGAGCATGTAAAATACAACTTGAAAAAGAATGCTACAATGTATCTCAAATATTGCTTGGATCATTTTAAAAAAATCACATTTATGTACTGGGAGTGGGGGGGATCACTCCATGTATGGTCAGAGAAAAACCCAGGGGAGTTGGTCCTCTCTTTGATCATGTAGGTCTCTGAGATAGGAACTCATTTTATCCATCTGGCTGGGTATAAGGTACCTTTACCCGCTGAACCACTTCACTGTCCCAGTTTTCTTTTACAATGATGTCACACACTGAGAAAAGCATTATTAAAGTCAATGATAGCTCTGACATGTCTAACCATGCTGTTCAGGCCCCAACTCTGGTCTTGGACATCTATATTCACATCCCCCTTTAACCAAGTCCAGGCATGTCCAATTCTATAATCATTACAGGCTGGATATTCATGCCATTGACATATCACAGTCACTGAGACTTACCCACACCTAGGTGCTATCGACTGATAAAGCATAGTGAAAAAACAAGATCGCCAGGTGGTGACGGTGCACACCTTTAATCCCAGTGCCCAAAAGGCAGAGACAGATCTGTGAGTTCCAGGACAGCCAAGGCTACACAGAGAAACCCTACTTTGAAAAAAACAGAACAACAACAAATAAACAAAAATCACTAAAACACAAAAGAGACAAAAACTGGATTCCTTTCCTGGAATGAATCTACCTAAAATCAACACAGATTTCAATTATACAATTATAAAAGTATAAAATAATGAACTAATCATTCAAGAAATAATAACACATCACATATCAACACAAAACCAAACTCATAAAATTCCTAGGTCAGTTCTACTAAGATAAAAATACCCAGAATAGTTGCGACAGAGCACAAAGAACACACAACAGCTATGCGTGGGCAAACCTGGGCTAATTTTCCAGTTTTATCCCAAGTGAGGTGAACTCAGTAAGTCATTTGATCTTTCTGAAATTCAAATTCTTCATTAGTCAGGTATATAACTGAAAAATGCCCCCAAACTATAATCTCAACTTAAAACTAAGAGAGAAAAGCTATTGTTCATCATGCCTTGCTTGGTTTTGCTTGTTATGTCGATTACTTACTTCCGGTTGTACTTTCTCTGAAGTAGAATGCCCTAAAGGAAACAAAAGTCACATTTATTACAAATACTTCATTTTAAGTCAAGACCTAGTTTTGCTGAAAGCAAAGTTGTATATAAAGGCCAGCATATTTTACTGAGTTCTTATTTAACTACAGGCTAATGAGCACTAAGAATTTTATGACTATTGAGACCAGTGACATTTTTGCAGCATTCCTACACATCTGTAGTATTCTAGTAAGAAAACAAACAAAAACCCAAGCCTTTTCCATTTTGATTCGAAAGTATACTGTTTATGTTAGCTGGAATAGGGCAATCAAAAATAGATGCTCCATGATTTACAACAAGCCATTGAACTTCTATCCACAAGCCTTATTTCATAGTATGTGCCAAAGCCCAATCTCCCATGAGAAACTGGCTAACACAAACCAAAACTTATGGGACTTTATGATCATTCTTAGGTATGCCTGTCACTCCTCATAATGTCAGATGCATAGATGACTTTCTGCATCTGATATTGATGCTTTATTGACTGATAAGTATAGACACATTAAAATAGATGGGATTTAAAAAATTAGTTTGTGTTGAATGCATTTTCAGAGTAGAAAAGAATATATGAAAATTCACTAAGATTAAAAAAGGAGAAGCAGCAGCAGCAACAGCACAATATTAATGCAACTATGAACGTTCTTCAAAGAAATGTGATGGAGTCTTACCCTTGCCTTTTCTAGTGACCTTTTTCTTAGTTTCAGGATCAGCCTTTGAGTCAAGCGGTACAACTTTTCTTGCCGTTTTTGCAAGTTCTAAAGCTGTAACCAGGGGAAAAGGACCTTTGTTGAACATCAGGTACAGAGAGAGTAGCGTTCAGTAATATGAACTCTTTAAAACAAAATCCTGCATATTACTTTTATCAGAAAAACAAATAAACCTACCCAAATTAAGAAAACTGATGTTGGGGAATAGTGGTGCACACCTTTATTCTTAGCACTCAGGAGGCAGAGACAGGAGGATCTCTGAGTTCAATGCCAGCCTGATCTACAGAAAGCAAGATAGGTTGCAAAGAAACACAAAAATCTGTCTCCAAAAAAAAAAAAAAAAAAGAAGAAGAAAAAAAAAAAAGAGTACTGCTTTTTATAAAACTTTTAAGCTGTCTCCCCAATATCTTTCTTGTAGTTGGAGGTTCCTCTTCCTGCCTGCCAGATCCCAAATAACTACTCTAGGGCATAATATTAATTATAATTGTCTGGCCAATGGCTCAGGCACATTACCGACTATCTTTCACAATTAAATTAACCCATTTCTATCATTCTATATTTTACCACAAGGCTCATAGCTTGTTACCTCACATCTTGCTGCCCTAGAGAATAGTGTCTCCCCGACCCTTTCTCTCCGTAACTATTTGGATTTCCCACCTAGCTATATTCTACCTATATATGTGCCATTGGCTAAAACACCTTTATTCATCAACCAATAAAAGCAACACATATTTGCAGCATACAGAAGGACATGACACATAATTTTTTCTTTAAAAACAATTATATTTACTCATGTGTTTATTATGTGTGTGGATATATGCATGCCAGTGTGCATATTCAAATCACAGAAGTTAGTTTCTCTCTCCCAATGAGGGTCCTGGATATCAATTTCAGCTTGTCATGTTTCATGACAAATGCCTTTACCCACTGAGCCACCTAACCCCTTCCTAGCATCTGAATCTCCCAATTAATTATACACAAATTTCTCCAACAGCAAAACAGAAATAATTGCTGGCATCTCTACCAATAGCTTATACCCATTCTTTCCATGTCTTATCCTTTTGACATGTTTATTGGGTTCTCCCTCCATTTCTTTAGTTTATTTGTTTTAAGGCAGGTTCTCATTATATAGCTCTGGCTGTCCTGGAACATCCTCTGTAGGCCCGGCTGGCCTGCAACTCACAGAGATCCACCTGTCCCTGCCCCTTTCTCCTGAGTGCTGGGATTAGAGATGTGTACTATGCCTGACTCTCCTCCCTTTTCTTATATATACTGTAGCCACAACCTCCTGAGGTGATGCAAGGACAAGAAGTTGGCATCTAAAACCCTAGTGAAAACTGTATGTAGTTAAAATTTCATTTTAAATTTTGTATAAAGTGTGGCGCTCTTGTGTAAAACTTTACATATGAATGATTCATAAAATATAATATGGAGTGGAGCAGATGGCTGCTCCTTTGGTGAAGCACCAAATGAAATGGTTGACTTTTAGGTGACATTTAAATAAAACAGCTATCTAATCTTTATTTCAATGATGGCAAGCAGGTGGAAAATGAGCGTACATGGGAGATCAGACGTATATTCCCAAATGTGACACTCATACAACAGTGCATATTAATCACATTGCCTTACTTCTTTTATTCCTCTTAAGATTTATCTTCACCATTAAAAAAATAGTGTGTGTGTGTGTGTGTGTGTATTGGAGACAGATGCCCACAATGGCTGGGGTATCAGATAACCCACAGTTGGAGTTACAAGTGGTTGTGAGCCATCTGATGAGGGTGCTAGGAACCAAACTGGGCCCTCTGCAAAGGCAGTACACACTTTTAACTACTGAGCCACCTCTCCAGCCTATTTTTATTCTTTAAATGGAGAAAAGTGTAGCTACATATAAATTTAAGTCATTTTACTGGCCCATATGCCCTAACTTAGAAATTTTATCTTTTGATCTTGAAAGTTAGCTAAGATACTCACAAGCTCCACAAGCACTTCCTTTTTTTTTCCATTTTTTTTTTTTTTTTTTTTTTTTTTTTTAGATTTATTTCTTATGTATACAGCATTCTGCTTGCATGTATGCCTACACACTAGAAGAGGGCACCAGATATCATTACATGGTTGCAAGCTCAGGACCTCTGGAAGAGCAGCCAGTGGCTCTTAACCTCTGAGACATCTCTCCAGCCCTGCACTTCCTTTTCTTAATTCCATGCTCTATATAAATCACTGGTTGTTTGCTGCTGTTATTATAGTTTGTTTGCTGTACATGGTCTTGTTTTTAAGACATCCTTTGATTTTGGGCAGAATTTTGCAATAGAGAACAGTGGCCTGAGTGCTAAGAGTAAGTGACTGCTGAATGCTCAGCCACAGAAGTATCAGCACCTCCAAGGCCAGGCAACATCTCTGTGAAGAGGAAGCAGAAAGAAGGTAAGAGCTGGAGGAGGGCAGTGCAATGCCATCATACATGCATAACATGAGCTTTTAGCATTTGTGATTATATCCACACGACCAGCATAAAATGGAACCCATCAGTATTCTGTCACGAAGGAGTTAAGGGCTCACAAGCCCTGACTCTTCCTGGGGATTTACAGGCAGTTAAGGGAGTTAGTGTAGAGAGCTCATAAGGCCCCACTTGTCTTGAGAATCTATAGCAAACTGAGAGGGGAGGAAGATACCTTTTTTTTTAGTGCTGCAACCACTGGTAAGTTGCCCAGTCTTCTATAAACAATCCCTCACCCATGTAAATAACCTTAATTAATCTTATTAGTGGGAGAGAGAAAACGTGAGGGAGGGAGAGGCAGAGAGACTGATTGACTGAAGAAGAAGGGAGGTAATTTGAAAGGGGGGGAACCAGCTGAGATCATTTTGGTTTTATATTGACATTGTTTTTTTTTTTTTTTTTTTTTTGCATGTAGTCTTTCGCTATTCTGCTTAGGCTAGCCTTCAAGTCTCTTGGGCTTCCTGGCTCAGCCTCCCAAGTAGCTGAAGTTAAAGGTATATGCCACCATTTCCAGTTTTCTACCCAATAGTAAGTAACTACTAAATGCAAAGAAAACACTGAAAAGTAAAATAACTTTTGTTTTTTAGAGACAGAACTTCTGACCATCCTGCCTATAAGTAGTGTTACTAGTTACTAGATGAACTAGTATAACCAGTGCCAGGACTACAAGGATGTACCACTGCACTTGGCATACGACTAGAGAGAGGCAAATTCCTCTTGGGTGACCTTAATTCCAACATGTACAATAATTTTTACCAAGTACAACGGCCAGTACAATCATCTTCCCCTACATCTTTCTATACACCACACTGCAATCCACAATTCCTCTGCCTATCAAGCTGTTAACCCCATAAGCTCCGGGGCCATTCTGGAAGCCAGCTTCCCCCCCATGACCCATTCTTTTCTGACTCTAGCTCACCAGAGCGGTCACTTTCACTCTTGCTCTGCCACACCTATTTGTGCTCCCAGAATACTCAGCTCACACTACGACACAAATCTGCAGGTAACATCTTTCCTTAAAAGCGTCCAATGACTGCACCTACAAGATGGCTCGGTGTATAAAGGCACTTGTCACCAAGACTGACGAGCTGATTTGTAGGACCTATGTTGCAAGAAAGAATCAACTCCAACAGGTTGTCCTTTAACTCATGTGCCCATATATGCACAGCCATAAACACACAAGTAAATGAAGCCATTAAAAAGAAAAACCATACAATGACTTTTCAAGTTACCAGAAATGAAAATTAGCTGGGCGTTTGTGGCACATGCCTTTAGTCCCAGCACTTGGGAGGCAGAGGCAGGTGAATCTCTGTGAGTTTGAGGCTAACCTGGTCTAAAGAGCTAGTTCTAGGAAAGGCTCCAAACCTACACAGAGAAACCCTGTCTCGAAAAACTAAAAATGAAAATTATGCATCCTTGATATACAGGCCCTCCCTTATCTCTTCCCTGAAACATCTTCATAGCAGTATTCTCCAATTCATTTTCCATCCATACTCAGTGATTTGCAGAAACGTGAATGAATCATTTTTAAATTCAATGTCCTGGATCCTTGACAAATTTCTATTACTTCTTCAAAAATTGGCATTGTCAGCTTCCATGATTTAATATCAAAGACTGCCTTTCTACTCTAAGCAACTACTGTAGCTTATACACAACTCTATGGCGGCTGGGTAGGAATAGAGCAGCACAAGCATTGAAATCTAAACCTGGCTCTGCCATGTATCTGAGATTTTAATGCGCATGATAGGCTCACAAACAGACAGACAGATCTATATATTGAGCACTGCACCAATCCTGGCATACACTACTTGGTCAATAATAACTTCTATCATCATTATATAAATGACTTTAAGTAAGAGTAGCTCAAAATGTCTTTGAACTTATGATACTCCTGTCTCTAAGTCCAGAGTGCTGGAATATAGTTGCATGACATCATACCAGTTAATCACATCATTCTTTATAAAGAAATGTCTTCTTCTCTAGATTATAAGGACCATTTATTCCATTAGGGTTTCAATGTAGCTTTGGAGCCTATCCTGGAACTAGCTCTGTAGACCAGGCTGGTCTCGAACTCACAGAGATCCACCTGCCTCTTCCTCCCAAGTGCTATGATTAAAGGCATGTGCTACGAGTGTCTGATTTATTTCATCATGAGGATGTGGTATTATTCTACAATGACTATAGGAAACAGAAAAGTAACATACCTAATTTAGCCATCTCTTCAGAGTGTTTTCTTTGTTGAAAAGAATAAACTTTATTCCCACCATCTACAGCAGAGCCATTTTTCAAGGAATCTGAAAAAGAAAATGTAACACACATTGAAGAAAAAGCAAGAAGGTTAAGAAAGATAAAGCTTTAAATAGCTAAAATCTAAAAGTTACACCCCTCTACCTATCATAAAAATTTACCAGCAGATACGAGCATACAAAATATTTTTTTATACACACAAGGAAAAATGACTAATCTTATTTATTTAAACATTAACACAAGAAGCATGCTATTTACAGATACAATAATTTTTCTCCAGACTGGCAAGATTAATAGACTATGAAAATTAAACCAAGTAGGTAAAATTGTGAGTTGTAAAAGGACTTCACTAGTTTCTGTTACCCTAGTAAAATAAAACCTCTGTGAGTAAGAGAAACAGATCAGTGATTAAGAATGCTTCCTCCTCTTCTAGAGGATCTGAGTTCAGTTCCCAGCACCTGTATCAGGTAGCCCACAGAAGATCCAATGTCTTCTGCAGACTCACGGACACACACACACACACAAATAAATCTTAGAAAGGAAAATAAAATCCCCAAGGCAAGGAACTTTATAAACAAAAGGTGTTCATTTTCCTGGACATGAACTAGCATGTCACGTCAGGAAATTTATGCGCAATCCAGGGGACAGGCTTACTTTTTTTTACCAGCTCTTTCAAGAACTATCTCAATTCATTCTAATGGTCAGTGTAGATTATTCAATCTAATGATGTGACTCCTGAGGTAGCATGTCTCAGGCGGTTTAACTCCTAATATATTAGGCCTTATCTGTTCTCCACATCACCATACTGGGTATCATACTTCTAACACATGAACCCCTGGAGACAAACCACAGCAAATGTTCTTACTGAACAGGCCCTTTCTTTTCTACTCTTTCTAAAGATTCTGTGTTAGAGCTGCATGTGGTGGCATATGCCAGCAATTCTAGCACTTAGGAGACAGGATAATCAGTAGTTCAATACCAGCTCATGCTACATAATACCACATCTCAAAATGCCAATGGAAGACAAGAAATGCCCCTGTGTTCTAAAACTTAGGCCAGTTATATGGTTCAGTGGGCAAAGGCAGCCTACATCAAAGTAGGATAACCTGACTTTTATCACTGGGACTCACATGTGGGAAGGAGATCATCAACTCCCCTAAGTTGCTCCCTGACTCCTATATCTCAACACACACAAAAGTTACATAAAATATAACTTTAAAAAGTTTGTTTGTCGGTTTTGCTGGGCAGTGATAGTGAACGCCTTTAATCCCAGCACTCGGGGAGTTCAAGGCAGGTGGATCTCTGTGAGTTTGAGGCCAGCCTGGTCTACATAGTGAGTTCCAGGACAGCTGCAGCTATACACAGAGAACCCCTATTTAAAAAAAAAAAATCAAAACAAATCCCATCCCTGAAAAAAAGCCTAAACGCTAGCTTGTTTTCTGTTTATGACGAAAGAGCTGGAGAAAAGTTCCACAGTAAAGAATGCGTAGGTGAGAGCAACACGACCTCCTTGAATTCCCTTCTATTTTAAAAAGAGGCTCAAAGTAACAATAAAGAGACCTGATCTGTAAGGTAACTATCCTCTGCTTTCTGTCTCCTGCACATGCTACCAACCCACCTGACGTTCTGCCCAAGAGCACCAAACCAGCCACCAGGGACTGAAGCCTCTGAATCAACAACTGGATGCCTATATACGGCATGATGAGACATGCCTATGAACCCAACTACTCAGGAGGCTGCGTTGGAGAGGGTCACAGACCAAGGACTGGTTACTTCTCTTTTATTAAAAACAAAACCAAACAAAAACCCTGCTGGGGACTGGAGAAATGGTTCAGTGGTTAAGAGCAGAGGACCTGAGTTCAGTTCCCAGTGCTGCTTTAGGATCCTGTAACCTCAGCTGATGCCCTCTTCTGGCTCCAAGGGTACTTGCACTCACATACAAACAAAATTAAAAACTAATTAAAACTAATTAAAAACTTAAAAAAAATGCAACAAGAACAAACAAAGGCAATTGTTTTAGATTGGACACACAATTATAGTTTACCCCTTTCTAGGCTACCAAGTTATCTTTGTACATCCTGAAAAGCAAGCAGTTCATTCTACTAGCCGAAAGCTGTGTGTATGTTACCCTCAATGAATACCTTGAATATTTCTTCCCAAAACTTCCACATAGTTCTGATCCTTTAAGACTTCCTGGTCATTCTTCTCCGATTCACACACTGGCTTCTTTATTATTTTCTGGGGATTGACCAGAAGCTGAGCTTTCTCCTTCTTTAATTTAGTTCCTATGAAATATACAAAATAAGGCGTGAGTTTATTTTTATTATATATACATGTGTATATATACACATACATTGGTTTCACTATATATACATATATATATATATATATACATATACACACATACATACATACATATATACATGAGTTCACAGTTCTGCTTGTCCTGGAATTCTCTCTGTAGACCAGGCTGGTCTAGAACTCACAGAGATTCTCCTGCCTCTGCCTCTTGAATGCTGAGATTAAAGGATTGTACCACCACTGCCTATCGTGAATTCTTTCTAAATATTTCATTAGAACCATCCAGATGGTTCAGCAGATAAGCTGTAGGCCATGCCAGGCTGACAGAATGCAAGAAGAAGAGAACCATTTGCAGAGAGTTATCCTCTGACCACCATGTGTGTATATGTTACATATGTCAGTAAACAAACTACACTTAATGCATGACCAATACGTAAAACTGAGGGGAAGTCAATGTTTTATCTTTCATTAAAAGTACCAAGTCAGAGGCTGGAGAGATGGCTCAGCATCTCTAAGGTGTGTTTTAAGAGCACTTGCTGCTCTAAGAAAGGATCTGGGTTCAGTTCCTGGCACTCTTATGGCAGCTCACAAATTCTAGTTGTAGGGTATCCAATGTGTTGTTCTGGGCGCCAGGCAGGCATAAAGTCAGACACACACACACACACACACACACACACACACAGAGGAGGAGGAAAGGAGGAGGAGAAGAAGAAATAAAAACTAAGTTAAACATACTCTGCTTTGGGGTGAATGAGCAATTATTTCCACCACTACAAAGTTCATTTTGGATAAAACTTTATACTGACTTTCAGTTAAATTTCAACGGACGTAAACTAAAAATCAGAGCAGTTTTTATTTAGTTTTAGCAGAGTGCATATTCTGTATTATAGTGTTTTTAAGAATGATGTGATCTGCCAGGCTGTTGTGGTGCACGCCTTTAATCCCAGCATTCGGGAAGCAGTGGCAGGTGGAACTCTGTGAGTTTGAGGCCAGCCTGGTCTACAAAGCGAGTTCTGGGACAGCCAAGGCTACAGAGAAACCCTGCTTCAGGAAACAACAACAACAAAACAGCAACCACAAAGATATGATCATAAGCATCTCAACTGTACAATCACACATACCTCCTTCTCTATCAAAAATGTGGTTGAGAACATTATCATCTCCCACAAATTGAACATTCAGCACCTTAGATTCCTTTAACTGCAGTGTGCTCATTGTGGCCAACCTAAACAAAAGTAGTAAGTCAATGTGATGAAGAATTCATACCAAATAAACATTTGTGAAATGAATACATATATTTAATATTTTTAAAAGTAAAATCATACTATGTACTGTTAGTATGTCCCTCAATGATGGCTTCTAACTGGGGCATGGAAGCCAAGTATTTCCCATCTCAAATTGCTCTTGGTTACATTCTTTACCACAGCAACAAGAAATCAAACTAGGACACTCATTTATAAACCCATGCTTGCCTTTTCTTCTGGCAAAAAACAAATAAGCAACAACAAACTAATGACTATCTCTCATAAGTTATTTATTATTACAGACAGCTAAATGTTGCAAACTTTTGTTTAATAACTAGCACAATTAAATGGCTTTTTTCATTTACCTTGTAAGGTGCTATGCATTCTGCAGCTTGAAGATTCAGTCACCTGTAACTAGAAGTCAGTCAAGATCAGCTAGTAGATGAAGGAAAGCAACTAGGGTAACCCCGCCCCCAAAGTCAAGCATTTTAACGATACAGTGTGTAATAACTGTACCCAAGAAGCTAATACAATGGCACAAAGAAGACAAAATAGTAACCGGCTAAAGAAACCAAGACTGGAAAACATTTAGACTGGCAAGAGGTAGGTCAGAGGAGAAAGCTAAGCACTTACTACGAGCTATATATAGTTTTCTGTATTTTGTTTTCTCTTGTAGTGAAATAGAGTCTTGTTATGTAGCCAAGTCTAACCTAGAACTCAAAACTCTCCAGCTCTGCCTCTCAAGTGCTGGAATCATAATGAATTGCCACCAACCCTGCCTCTTTACATTATTCCAATTTAACCTTCAGAGCTTCAAGAGGTTATACTTTGTAGGAAAAATAACAAATATAATATCCAGAGTCACAACCACATCCCATAAAGCATGTCCTTCTTGGGTCATTTTATAGTCACATTGCTGCTTTCTGTTCTAGAGACTCTGAGTACGTTAAAGAAAATGTGTAATGCATCTACATAAACCTGTATGAAGAAACTAATAGTTTATACTTGAATAAATAGGTTTTTTTTTTTTTGGCAGGGTCTATATGTAAGATACTGTATTAGGTAGCTTTAGATACACCAGAAATTAATAAGTCAAGTACATATTTGTGTATGCAAGCAATTACTCCACTTTATAATTAAGCTGTCAGCTAAATAATAAATGATTCATTAAAATTCACAATTAGAAATCAGTTTTACCTGATTCCTACATTCTTGATTACTTGATTATACAACTTGTTCCTTTCTCATTTACCTTGCAAAGCATTTCCTGCCACTGAATAAAAATCCTACTCTAATTGCTTGTTCTGCTCTCTGAAAATTATAACACATCATCATAAAACAAAACATTTAACTCTGAGCTTCTGGGCAAGGAGAGGAGAGAAAGGGGAGGGGACATGACAGAGAAGACTTGTTCATAGTTTTCATTAGCTAAGTTTTTTGGGGGGGAGTGAATTTTCAAGAACTTTTATAAAAGTAGTCTAGGTAACTAATATTATCTCAGGCAATTTCCCTATGGTAGTTTATTGTGTATGTATAAGTGTGGAGGCCAGAGGACAATCCACATTTCTCAGGAATCATTCATCTTATTCTTTGAGACAGGATCTCACTAACCTACAGCTGGAAAATTAGGCTGGTTGACCAGCAAGCCCCAGGAAACCACCTGTCTCTGCCTCCACAACCGCTAGGATTGCAAGCCTCCAGCCCACCAAACCTTTTGTTGCTGCTGTTACCGTAGTTCTAGGGATGGAACTCAGATCCTCATGCTTGCAAGACAAGCACTTTACCAACTGAGTCATCTCTAATACCTATTGCATTTTATTTGTAGTGTGTGTGTGTGTGTGTGTGTGTGTGTGTGTGTGTGTGTGTATAAGAGAGAGAGAGAGAAAGAGAGAGAGAGGAACAATGACCTTATGGATTCCAGACTGGCCTCCAACCAAAGATGACCTTGAACTTCTGATTCTTTATGTCACCATACCTGGCACTGGCATATACAGTGTTGTGGATGGAGCCAGGGGCTACATCAATCCTGCTACATCCCTAGTCTCTTAATTTTCTTATTGTGATGGTCTCACTTTATAATACAAGCTGGCTTTGAACTCATGATTCGACTGCCTCAGCTAACAGTAGTGGGATTACAGCCACCATAACCAGAGCTAGAATTTTAATCACCTACTAGGTGAGCTGCCCCATGTGGTCAAGGACAAGGCATGAATGTAGCCCAACATAAAACTGTAAATTTCAACATTTTTGGCAATTAAAAAAACAAACAAAAACAAATGTGATATGACTCAGTTTGTCAAGTCTTTTTTGGTTGTTGTTTTTTGTTTGTTTGTTTTTCGATACAGGGTTTTTCTGTGTAGCTTTGGAGCCTGTCCTGGAACTAGTTCTTATAGACCAGGCTGGCCTCGAACTCACAGACATCTGTCTGCCTTTGTCTCCCAAGTACTGGGATTAAAGGCATGCACCACCACCCCCAGCTGCATTTTTTTTTTCTTTTTTTGGTAACTTTGTGGATGACAGCAACATGGTATCAAAATGTCAAAAAGGCTGAATATGCCTGCCATTAAGTGGCCTGACTCAGTCTTGCTTGCATCCAAATGCATTTATTTATATAATATATCCATTTTTAAGATATTTTATGCAGTTCAAGCAAAACTACCCCAATTGACATTTCAGCCAAGATTTCATAAGAAAACTCCAACAATTCCTGAGAAAAACACTAACAAATACACAAAATATGAATATGGGTATGAGAAGATGGCTCAGTGGATAAAGCACTTGTCCCACAAGTGTCAGAATGGGAACTGAGGTTCTTGTAGTCATTTAAAAGTTCAAGAGCGCTCAGAACTGGGGAAGGGAGGAAAGGGGATCCCTGAGGTAAGCTACCTAGCTGGGCTAGCCAAGTCAGCAAGTTTCAATAAGAGACCCAGCTTCAGTAAACAACGTAAAGAGGAATTGAGAAAGACATCCCAAATTAATCTCTGCCCTCCACCAGCACACATGAGCCAAAATCCGCATACACACGCATTCGCATACCACACACCCACAACCAACCAATGAAATACAGATATCCACAGTGAGCATCGAATGTTGTGAGAAGACTTGTTCATAGTTTTCATTAGCTAAGTTTTTTGGGGGGAGTGAATTTTCAAGAACTTTTATAAAAGTAGTCTAGGTAACTAATATTATCTCAGGCAATTTCCCTATGGTAGTTTATTGTGTATGTATAAGTGTGGAGGCCAGAGGACAATCTACATTTCTCAGGAATCATTCATCTTATTCTTTGAGACAGGATCTCACTAACCTACAGCTGGAAAATTAGGCTGGTTGACCAGCAAGCCCCAGTCAGCAGCACTAAATAATGCAGCACTCCCTCGAGGAGTAAACACATTTTACAACTAAGCTCTGTCCCAAGGCAATTGTGGCGTTAGGGCGCCCGGCAGCGATGACAGTACAGACTTCAGCAGTAGTTCAATGCCACGACCCCTTGGGGCCACATCCCTCACAGTTCCCTCTCCTCTGGCAGAGCGCTTTGCTACTTTCGGTGCAGGTTCTGACAATTCTCCTACCAACTACAGAACCGGGTTAGCCGGGAAGCAGGCATGCTGAGTGTAGATCTCTCACCATCGGACAGCCCGACGCCTGCCAGTAGCAGACAGCGCTCCTCAGGGGTGAGGCACCCGTGGGGCTGCTCTCAGCGTCGCCCTGCAGGCGATCCACAGCCTCACGACGTCCCGCCGCAGGTGGGCGAGCAGCGAGGCCGGCGGCCCTGCCGGGTGAAGCGCACGGAGAGCCGAGGCTGCAGTGGAGACGCACCCGGACTCACCTCACCGATCCAGAGCCTGCGGGAAGGAGAACGGCCGCGAAGCCCACAGCTCGGCAAGTCAGGGCTCGCGCCGCCTGAGACCGCCCCTCGAACCCCGAGGGAGGTCAACTTCTCCGGGAAAGTCGGAGCCGCGCGAGCCGAACCCCGGCCCAGAAGGGGATGGGAGGTGCGCGCTGCACACTGAATCTCTAGCCCCGCCAGGGGGCGGATCCCTAGGAGACCAATCAGGAGCCGAGTCGGCAAGAGCGACGGCCCCACAGGCCCGTTGACGCGAGCCAGAGGTCCTCGCTCACCCGGAAAACAGATCCCCAAAAACTGGGTTCCGGGGCTTTCCTCTTCAATTCCGTTTCCGTTTCCGGGGGGAAGAACCCGATTCTCGCGCTGCGCCAGAGAGGTGTGTGCTAGGTCTCTAGAAGCTCAGCGGAACGTTCCAGGTGTCATTGTTGTTTTATGGCAATCTTAATATCGTTAGCCTAGCCACCCTGAGGGAAAAGATAATGAAAATGGATTTGCTTAAAGAAAAACACACACTTTTTCTTATTTGATGCAAAGGGATCTCGGGTTTTCGGGATGGAGGAGCCAGAGCATGAATGTGAAGATAGGATCATACCACTAATGAAGTGAAGAGACAAGGTGGAAAGGGGCATTTATACGGAGAAAGTGAGGAAAAGCAATCAGTCTAGCTGGGATACATAACAGCATTTGTTCACTAACAGGATTACGTCATTCGGATTCATTTCAAACAAAGTAGTACACTTAGTACACAGTAGTAAAGATACAATATCAGGTAGGTAAAAGATCCCTCTGCCGTCAGTTAACAGAAAAAGATACTGACCAGATAATATTGAGAAAAGTGCTACAATAAGGCAGCTCGAGTACTTACTGAGAGCACCTAGCCTAAGAGCTGTAAAATGCTCGGCAATTAGGAGTAGCAACTAAATTAGGATCGTAGGAACTAAAGTGACTCCATTTTGGCCAAAGCAACCATGGCTGTCACCAACTTGAGATTGTTAACAAAGTCCCAGGAAGTTATGCCTGTAAAACTAGTCCGGAAATGCTAATCACTAAAGCCCCTTTGCCAGGATTGTGTAAAATTTGTAAAATTTTGTAAAACGATTAGCTTATTCACACAAACTTTTTCTTTTGGGGGAGGGTGTTCAAGACAGGGTTTCACAGTACAGCCCTGACTGTACCGGAACTCAGTAGAGCAGACTGGCCTCGAACTCAGGGATGCACATGCCTTTGCTGGCCTATACTGAGATTAAAAGTCAAGCACCGCCCCTACTCATCCAAACAAACATTCTTATAATGGCATGCTAATGTCAAAGTTAGACATTTCCACCATGTTGGGAACTGTTACTTGAACAAAAATGCTGATGCAGGTTCCACTGGTAGATTTTCTTTGGCAAGGACGCCCTGAACGCTTACAGGCAGGAAGATGGCACTGGCAGAAGTTCAGGTCCTTGAAAGCAGAGAAGGCCGGTGTGGACCCAGAGGCAGTGCCATAAATTAAACTGACTGAGGCCAGGGACACCAATGGGCACCAACACAGAGCCTAGGGAGCATGGCAGCAGGGGCCTAAAACAATATTTACAAAGTTCCAATTTTTGTATCATTTTACTGGGCTTTGTAACATCAGGGCCCACAACTTGTGGGGACCCCCTCCCATCATATCAATACCACCTTAGGGTTAGTTTTTTTGTTTTTGTTCTGTTTTGTGTATCAAGTCCTGTCCTTTGTTAGGTTGGTAGCTGGGCAGCCAGGTGGCCTTTTATCAGAGCAACCTGGTGGCAAACTTCAACTCATGTGCATTACATTATTTCAAGTCACACAAAATGGTTTCTAAGTTACACAGAATAAATTTTAAGTTGTGCCTCTAACACTGGAGCACAGGAGTATATAATTAAAAGACCAAGAGAAGTTGAGTGGTGGTGGCACACACCTTTATTTAATCCCAGCATTCGGGAGGCAGACAGGCAGATCTCTAATTTCAGGCCAGCCTGATCTACAAAGTAAGTTCTAGGACAGCTAGGACTTTTATACTGAGAAACCTTGTCTCCAAAAAAAAAAAAAAAAGCAACAAGAAGACCAAAAGGAGCCAGGCATTGGTGGCAAACATCTTTAATCCCAGCACTCAGGAGGCAGAGGCAGGCAGATCTCTGAGTTTAAGGTCAGCCTGGTCTACATAAGGAGTTCCAGTACAACAGGCTCCAAAGCAATACATAGAAGCCCTATTTCAAATAAATAAATAAATGGGGGGGGGGTTTAAGCCTAAATCAGGCTTTCCTTAGAGGAAGACATGGTCCCCCTGCTCCCCCCCCCACACACACACACAGGGTTTCTCTCTGTATCCCTAGCTGTCCTGGAACTTGCTCTGTAGACCACCAGGCTGGCTTTGAACTAAGTGACCTGCCTGCTTCTGCCTCCCAAGTGCTGGGATGAAAGGCATGTCCCACCATAGCCCAGCAAAAAAGAATACATCTTTAAACCTAGGGCCTGAAGTGATTTAAGTCAAACAAGAGAGGCGAAGTTTTCCAGGAAGAAGGGCAAAATGAAAACGGGTGAGTAAAGTGTAGATTAAACACTGGGACAAGTGGCTGAGGTGCCTATTTCATATAACAAAGTGGGGGCTGGCTGCCAGGTTCTCTTAGCATCCCTTAGTCCCTACCTATTACAAGGCATACCCTACTGTTGCAGAAATTTAGCAGAGTCACTGTATCTAAGATTAATGTTAGAATGGTAAACATTAGAGTGAAGAGTTGTTTTCTAGAGGTACTCTGACCTTGAATAATTGTGGAAACAGGAAAGGATCTTTATGGAAAACAGTGATTTTCCATGATTTGTAGAATTTACTGAAGCAGGGTTGCAGCCTTTACATGACTTTGGTCACTAGACACCTCTGGCACCTCTAAGGCTCTTGGATTATTGTGGATACACAGTAAAGGACTAAAGTCTTGAGGGCATGTGATGCTCTCCTTTAATGAGACATAAAGATTAGACGGGACCTTGGCATGAGAAACTACTTTACCCCCAAAACAACACTGTGTAACAACCAATAAATATGGCTTTGTATAGCTGTTTGGGGTTCAGTTCAGAGGCTGAACCTTCCTGCTGCCACACAGGCCTTAAAATTTCATCTTGGATCTCTTTCTTTGACCAATTCATGCAACACAGAACACCCAGGCGCCTACCCCAAACTCTAGCCCTGGTGGCTGCGCTGGTCTTACCTATATAATCCAGTCATTTTGGCTAGCCATCCCTTTGTAACTTTGCCCTCTTGGTTGCTGTACCTGGTCCCTTTCTCCCCTCTCCTTTCCCTTCCCCCCATATGGCCCAGCTCAGTCAAGGTCTCTCTGGACTGTGCTCTCCCTCCTTCTACAATAAACTTCCCCCTCCAGGACACCTAACCTAGTTGTTCTTTTCTTTTTCTTTTTTCATATAGTGTCATATAGGCTCTGGGGCCTGGAGAGATGGCTTGGTGATTAAGAGCATTGGCTTCTCTTCCAAAAGTCCTGAGTTCAATTCCCAGCAACCACATGGCTGGCTCACACTATCTATAGTGGGATCTGATGCCCTCTTCTGGCATAAAGGTGTACAGGAAGATAGAGCACTCATATACATAAAATAAATAAATCTATAAGCAGGGTGGTGGTGCACACACCTTTGATCCCAGCACTTGGGAGGCAGAGGCAGGAGGATTTCTGTGAGTTCAAGGCTACCCTGATCTACAGAGCAAGTTCCAGGACAGTTGTCAAAGCTACACAGAGAAACTCAGTCTGGAGGAAAAAAGACTTGGCTCTGTTATTAAGAACTTACAAGTTGGTAATTAGGGCTTTGGTCACATTTGTAGTGAAAGATTATCTATGGAATATAATACTGGAAAGGAAGAACAGAGTCAGATTATTTGGAAGCTGTTTAGAGCAGCTTCAACCTTCCTAATACTGCAACCCTTTAATACAGTTCCTTACATTGTGGTGACCCCCAGCCATAAAATATTTTCATTACTTTGTAACTGTAATTTTGCTACTCTTATGGATTATAATGTAATATTTTTGGAGATAGAGGTTTGGCAAAGGGGTGGCAACCCACAGGTCATGAATGTAACAATAAGAAGAAAAATAGCCTGGGGATGTGACTGTCATACAGTCAGTATGTATGTTTAGCATGTGCTTATATTCCCAATGTAGAAAAAGTAATTTTCTGTGTCTAATCATTTGAGTGGTAAGCACACAATAAAGGAGAGGCAACACAGGCTAACAGTTGCCATGAGTGTCTGAAGTGTGGTTAAAATTTGGACATCCAGGAATAGTGAAGAGATGTGCTCAAATAATGTGTTATATTCTGTATGTAAACTATTTGCACATACTACATCTTCAATAAAATCTAAAACGCTAAGGCCTTGATGTTGGGTGTGTGTGTGTGTGTGTGTGTGTGTGTGTGTGTGTGTGTGTGTGTGTGTAGTGGAAAACAGAGTGGAGACACTAACATTTAGTTTGATACTAGGGTAGATAGAAACAATACCATACTATTCTGAATGGAAATACAGGATCCTACAGTGGCAGGAAGTTGAAGTTAGAATGGACAATAAAATGGCAACTCTCCTGTAGTCACAAGAAATTCTGGATAGGACGTTATATTGTTCTAAGGGAAAAACAGAAGATCAAATTGTCATTCTGTATGTGGTTCTCAACTAAGACTTCATGTATGCTAAGCAAATGTTCCACTGACCATACCCTGTGTCTTAAAAGATTTCACACCCGAGATGCTAACCCAATTATAGTTTGAAATTTAAGAGCTGCCTGAAAAATCTTTAGTGTAAGCAGATTTAGAATGGTAAATTGAGCCCTCTCTTGGAATGTCTCAATTACTAGAACCATTTTTTTTTCCAAAAAGTATGTAAGGAGGGCAGGCAAATTGACTCAAGCAGGTGAAAGTACCTGCCACAAATCTGATGACCTGAGCTCAATTTCTGGGACTCATAGGGTAAAAGGAGAGAACCAAGTCTTAGAAGTTGTCCTCTGACCTCTACAAAGGAACTGTGTCATGCTCAAGGATACACTTGTAATGATACTCCACCCCAACACACTTTTTAAAGT